TGTAGGGGAATTCCCAAGTTATACCTTTGTCGTATAGGTAATCTTACAATATTTTCATGTTCTTTATTTTAGTTAAATAAAAGATATAAAGTGATGAATTAATACACTAGACACATGGTTTTATTTGAACACTTTATTATGACATCGTAAAGTGATGAATAAGAACACTAAACACATGGCTTTATTCGTAGGCCTAGAAGCTAGGTCTAGCCTAGGTATCATCGTTCGTTCGTACATACGTTTATTGATCGTTACGTACGTATTAGGTCAAAGGTTACCACAAATTTAACCCAACCTCTATTTTACGAATCCCCCGATTTACGTACGCCCTCTGGTCCCGTACCATACGTAAAATCGAGGTTCTACTGTAGTAGTAAAATGAGAATTACTGTAGAGGAAGGAGACTTGGAATTACACTAACCTATTACTGAGATTTGGAGGAAGGGGACTTAACCTTTTACTAAGATTTGGAGGAAGGGGACTTAACCTATTACTGAGATTTGGAGGAAGGCGACTTAACCTTTTACTAAGATTTGGAGGAAGGGGACTTAACCTATTACTGAGATTCGGAGGAAAGCGACTTAACATATTACTGAGATTTGGAGAAAGGCGACTTAACCTATTACTGAGATTTGGAGGAAGGGGACTTAACCTATTACTGAGATTTGGAGAAAGGCGACTTTAAGTACAATCACCTCTTACTGAGATTTGGAAGAACAGGACTTGGAAGAAGTATATCCACGTGTTACTGACACTTGGAGGATGGGGACATGGAAGAAGAAGTACACTCACCTGTTACCGTAATACTTCCAGTTGAGAAGATTTTAAGTGTAGCCTTGATAGGTTTAATCTTGTAAGTCACTGCTGGATGTAATTCAGGTTCATAACTAGAAATTAAATTGAAAACAAAAAACAATATTCAAACTTAACATTCATCAAATTCAATCCATTCAAACTTAGGATGGAGAACACCCCCACCCCAAAATGCATAGTTCCTAGGCCAGCGGTTTCCAATTGGGGAATGGGGAGGGCTCTGCCAAAAATAACTGAGGGTCTGCCAAGTTTAGGTCTGCGGAAGGGTTGGGGGGGGGGCAAAAAATGTTGGGGTCCGCTACACTTTAAGACCCATTTTTTACGATTCCATTATTTTTCTTATCTTATAACTAACAGTGAACAGTGTGATAAACACCTTACTCCTAATCATCAATAATAAAACAGCTTTGATGTTGTACTTTTGTGGCAAATAATGTTCTACCTACTTAAAGGCCTAATCTTATTATCCTATAGTTGAAATATCGACAATGAGTAAGCTTAACCTAGGAGGTATGTGAAGACTTTTAACATGCCACCAAGGGTTCATGAATGCAAAAAAGTTTGAAACCATTACTTTAGGCATACTTTATATTTTTTTGTTTTTTATTTAGCATCTTGCATAAAAAAATTCAATTTACATCATCAATGTGCATTCTTATTTTTAATTTAGTTTAATAAGTTTTATACAATTGCATTTATGTACCTCACGGCCTTTTGTAAGAACACCCAGTGGGTGAAAGTGTCTCGTGAATAAATAAAGATTATTATTACTATCATAAAAACAATACAATAAAATTTCATTAAAAAGACAGTTAAGAAACTTAATTCCAATGGGGTCCATGTCCTTTGTATAAGTACCTATGTATTTGCAATGTATTGTTTTGGACAGGTAATAGCCCTTGATGACTTATGTAGCAATAAAAATTGAATTTAATTTAATAGGTACAAGATATGAGGAAACATTAATGTCACAGCAGTGTATAAAATATGCAAATGAAAATAATGTATGGTACTGAAAAAATACAAAATTTACGATGTTATCAAATGGTGATGAGTTATACGAGATTAGAATGGGATTGTTGGTAATAAAGTAAGTAAATTTATCACTTTATAGCAGTATAATAAAGTTTCTTATTTCATTTCCATTAGGCAACAAACCCCTATAGAATAGAGGCTCTGTGCTTTGTAATACGTTTGATAACTAGAGTTATGGAGCACGGCACTGTGATGGAACACTGTTGTTTTATGTCAATTTCTATCATTCACAATATATGTTGCCCTTCAACTGATTCTAGTTTCTAGCATGGTAGAGATGATTGCATTTGTAATTAATCCAAGTGCGATATTTTACTACACATGCATCTGACGCCATTGTGGAATAAGCCTATGAATAAAAATTTTCATGAATCATAGCTATACAATGATAGGAATGGTGTTTTAACTCCATTTAATCGTATAGAATGCTCAGTATTCCCAAATAGTTGCAAAAAAAATCTTGCAAGTGATTCAGGTGGGATTCGAACCCACGACCTCCAGATAACTAGCCTGCAATCTTAACCACTACACGTCTGGTGTTTGAACCACAGTACAATAACACGTCAGGTAGGGCAAAAACGTCATTCCTACTGCTAATCCAATGACGCAAAACATCATCAGAATTTAAGGGTAGGGGATTGTCTCCCGGTGTACTGCCCAATCACCACCAGAAGGACCCCACCGGAAATAAGTCTTCTTCTAGACTTTCTTGGGCTATCCTTGGTGTTTACACCGAATAAATCCAATCCAATCCAATCCATGGAACAAAAAATAAAAATAAATAAAAGATCTTCGACTAACCTTGCTTCTTTCGGATGTGACATTGAAAACTCGGGTAGACGGACACCAAATGGTAGGCTACAAGTACCTAAGACATTAACGACCCTGTAATTGCATAATCGAACCTGGAAAATAGTACAAACAGCTTGAAATTCCATTGCAGTTGTTTTCAAATTCCATGAATATTTCCATTCCCATATTACATATATTCCAAGGGCATTCTTTATTGCCATTTTTAAAATTCCATGGCTTAAAACACAGTAGTGAATAATTAGTGAAATAATTATTTCATTCATAAGTTTACTATATGTTTATGCAAATATTATCTTACACATTATGACATTTTATTACCATTTTTCAAATCCCATAATTTTTTTTTATTACCATTACTATGATGACAGAAATGAAATTAAATCATTTTTTCATTCATATGAAAATAATATCGATTTTGACTTTTCCATTACTAAATTTTACATTTCTTATTTTACTGTTATAAATGTGGAAAAAATTCTATATATGAAAAATTATGCCATAAATATAAGTGGATGGCCCATCCTCATTTATAAAATTGGAACATAAATATGGCATTATGATTAAAATATGATTTCCTTTTAATTACTTTAATTATTTCAGGGGATTGAAGCTGTATTTTCGGTGGCTATAGAGTATATAGCTTGCTTACATGGTACTGTATATGGTGTCACCTATAAATTGTCCTCAATAAAGAGGCTTTGGAGACATAAAGTGGCCTAAAGACAATGGCATGTTTAGGAGTAGTGGGTGCGTGCACTTCCTCCCAAAAAAGTCCCCCCCCAGTTGCCAACCTCTTGTCCACCGTACATTGCCAGTTAGCGCCCCCTCAGTTAATCATCAAAACCTCCCACTCCCAGACGCCTAGATACGCCACTGCCTAAAGGAGGAATCACTGTTGGTAATTGTGTAACAAAATAGATTTAAAACAAAGTATTCAGAACCGCTACCTTAAAACCTAGTCTCTGCAACTTCCTTGAACATCTTCTGGCTGAAATTTTTGCGTTGCCCTCACTGGTGGCAAAATATATAAAAACAGTAATTAAATTAAATAGTTGAAAAAAAAATTATGTAATATTCTCTACTTAGTTTATTGATTAAATTGATATCAATATTCATCTGGTGTCAGGCTTTTACAGAACTGATAGGAAAACCAACACAAAATATGTCAGTTGTTTATCTTTAGTGTTGATTTTGTCTAAAGTGTGTTTCAAACTATAATCTGTTAACATTATAACAGTTCTGTCAAAATAAATAATAATAATAAAGTACCAAATTAACATATACAATAACTTAATATTATTTAATATATAAAGCCTAGGCATTGATCTTTTTAATAATAGCAAATTATTATTTTTATCATCATTACTAAAATTTAAAATTCATAATTATTACTAAAACTCTAAGTGAAATTTATATGATTGCTAAGCTGCACTTTCATTCTTTCTTTTTAAATTAAAATATAGTTAAAAATGTTTTAACATTTAATAAACCACATTAAAAATGTGGTTCTAGTATCATGCCTTTTATAAATTTTTCATTTGAAGTATATCGAGTTAACAATTGCAACAAGGAAACAAATTAATTTTACACATATTTATACAAATGTGAGAAATAAATTGTGAGATGTCATGACAAAATGAGTCTTATTGTACACCAGGTCAATTTGAGATATTAAAGACAATAATAATAATATTAAATAATAATAATAATAATATAATAATAATAATAATAATTTTAATAATAATAATAATAGCTCGTGTCCAATAAAATTACATCTTTAAAGTTAGTGTGAGAGTGCTGCCTTCATTACTTGTTTAATTTTTCTAACATGGCTACCACCACTGTACTTCTATCAGGACAATAATATGAAAGCGACGTTTTGGTAAGTATTGGGTTTCTTTGTTTCTGATAGGTATGTATATTTCACAATGACAAAGGTTTAGATTTCATTAGTTAAGTGTTTTGAGGCACATTTTGTAAAACCCTTTTTAAGAATTGATAGGAAAACCAACAAAAAAATTTATCAATATTTTCTCTAGTGTATGTTTTCAAACTTATGGATTTGAAAAAGATTTTGCTCCAGTGGACTCACGCTAGAACCAAATTCAAAGACTAAATTAAAGCCTACGGTATTAATACAGTTGAACTTGCCTAAGTCGAATCCAAATTGCCATTGAAATATTGTTCGACTTAGGTAAAATTCAACTTACAGATTGTTAAATAAAGGAAATCACAACAATTTTGACATGTAAAATTAGACCGACTCAGAAATTATTCGACTTAGCCAAAGTCAACTTAAGCAAGCTTAACTGTAGTCCTACTGTATATACAGCAAGACAGATGACAAGTATTTTTATTTGTCCAATTGACTTACCTATCCAGGCCTGCGATTGTTACTTTACCCGACGACCAAATAGTTGCTGTGGCCCTCGGCCTTCTCATTCTCATTACAACATGCTGTTTGAAAAAAAAAGAAAAAAGTGTAAGGATTGATTTTATTGGGTTCAAGTTGCAAAGGACCTAGGGGGTGTGCAGGGAGGAAAATACATATAAACCCACCCCCCAAAAAATGCTCACCCCTCCTCTATCCTCCTGAAAATGTTTTAAGCCCAAAAATTAGCTCAAGTAGCTAAAAATCACCTTATTTTGCAAACAAGCACAACACCCTCCCACTTAACATTAGCCCCACCCCCCATTACTCCTCTAACATATCAAGACATCTTAGATACTCGAATATGAAGGACATGTCCAGGAAGCATCAAGGAATGCATGGTTCATAGTTTTCAGAATACTGATATTCACTTACTAGTATTTTTGGGTATGAGAAGAAAAGTTACAGTATTCTAATTACATTATCCCACAGTACGTTTGTGGATATTGTTATAGTTATTTAAATCCTTGTATTAATATTAGCCCACAGTATAAATAAGTCAATCAGAATTATCTATAGTACAACATATCTCTACTCAGGATCTACAAGTATCAGTATATATTTTTATATCTGACACCTTTTACAAAATAAAAATATTTTCCATTTTGTTTCCTTTTTGAAAAGCCCAATACTGCCCCTAGACAACTTCTGAAAGATTTTGAGCCACACCCCAACTCTCATCAGTTACATCACCAGCCCCGCTCCCGTCAACACAGGCAAATCAGACCATGTGTCGGCAAAATCCTGGTGCCATCCATGATCTAAGTTTTGTGTGTGTGTGTGTGTGTGTGTGAGTGGGGGTGGGTCTATTAAGGTATTTATTGTATGAAAAATATATGTATTGAAAGGGCCTTCTCATTCTCATTACAACATGCTGTTTGAAAAAAAAAGAAAAAAGTGTAAGGATTGATTTTATTGGGTTCAAGTTGCAAAGGACCTAGGGGGTGTGCAGGGAGGAAAATACATATAAACCCACCCCCCAAAAAATGCTCACCCCTCCTCTATCCTCCTGAAAATGTTTTAAGCCCAAAAATTAGCTCAAGTAGCTAAAAATCACCTTATTTTGCAAACAAGCACAACACCCTCCCACTTAACATTAGCCCCACCCCCCATTACTCCTCTAACATATCAAGACATCTTAGATACTCGAATATGAAGGACATGTCCAGGAAGCATCAAGGAATGCATGGTTCATAGTTTTCAGAATACTGATATTCACTTACTAGTATTTTTGGGTATGAGAAGAAAAGTTACAGTATTCTAATTACATTATCCCACAGCACGTTTGTGGATATTGTTATACTGTAGTTATTTAAATTCTTGTATTAATATTAGCCCACAGTATAAATAAGTCAATCAGAATTATCTATAGTACAACATATCTCTACTCAGGATCTACAAGTATCAGTATATATTTTTATATCTGCCACCTTTTACAAAATAAAAATATTTTCCATTTTGTTTTGTCAACACAGGCAAATCAGACCACGTGTCGGCAAAATCCTGGTGCCATCCATGATCTAAGTTGTGTGTGTGTGTGTGTGTGTGAGTGGGGGTGGGTCTATTAAGGTATTTATTGTATGAAAAATATATCTATTGAAAGTGTACCCTCTATTAGAACCTTAGTTTAAAGGGCTACCTTCTACCGTATTCAATAAAATAAATCAGATGAATTTTAAAAAAAAGCTTACACCCATCTCTCGTTTATATTCAACGTTCTCGCCCGTTGTAGCTATCCTCCTTAGATTTAAGTGACAGCGTACACTGAAGGAGCACACGACATTGTTGATGGCGATTGACAAGTCTGTCTGTACTGCGTTCTGGTCATTGTCAACGTTGTCAACCCTTGTGTTCTCTATGCCATTGTGGTGACCTGGTCCAAGCGGATGAGCACCACCACTATCCGTTTCATGACTGTTACTAAGAATGACAGACATATTCTGCAAAACAAAAAAGATGAACAAAAATAATAGCAAACCTATTATAAAGTTACAATATGAAAAATATTAAACACAATAGAAGTTTTGACTGTGTTGCAATATAATAAGGAAAAACTATAGTGAACAAGGAGTGTCTCTATATTCAAATACTGTATCTACTGTAACCTTAGATGTACTGTCTGCCCCCAAAAACCAATGTAAAACCTAAAAAATCCATTAAAACTTTGAACGGTTCATTTAAAAATGTCAAATATGTTATTAACAATTTTTTTTAACAAATTTATTCTGTTTCATTTCATTTCATTTCTTTTAGGCACGAGCGCTAAGGATATGCCAATAAGTGAACTTAATCACTGTCCTACGTGGCATATCCATTTAACAACAGGGGACTTAATGGACCAGTACACCGGGGTAACCCGCTTCTCTTCTCGAATGATGTACTGGGTTCTTTAAAGTGCACACGAGCCAAATGCATACACTTGGCCTAAGGTTTAAAGTCCTTATCCAAGAAGACTTGTTCCACCACCAGAACCATTGGCGAGTGAGCCGTTGAACCAGCGCTGATATTAGAGGTGAAGGTTACGGCGCCCCTGACTTAACTGCTCGGCCAAACAACTTGCCTCGGCCAATCAACTCGCCTCAGCCAATCAATTCTTGTGCTTGTTTAAGCTGTTTATTAAATTCAAATTCTTTGATGAACTGGAGTTACCAGTATGAATGAATAATTTGCATTTATTTCTTATTCTTTAATAATTGATTAGTAATTGTTCATAATTTTTGACATTTTTAAGAATTTGTGTCTAAATTTAATGAAAATTGAATTTTCAAACACAAGCATTTTTACAAAGAATTGTTGAAAATACCATCAACTACACATTCAAAACATCAGATATCACTTTAAAATAGTGCACACATTATGTTTAAACTTTATCTTTTCCTTCTACAGCAGAAAAGTTTATTCTGATTTTATTTCTATGAATAGAGAATCACGCAAGATATCAAAGCAAAATGCTCATCAACTTTGGCCAAATCAATCCCAACATTATATGTTACCCATAAATAGATGATGCTGTTTTTGGGTACAATGGCCACATTTCTAGTAAGTTTGAACAAATCGCCTTTCCTGTTAGATTGCTTATGTTCATAATAAAAAGTCACTACTTTTGTTCGGATAGTTATGTCCATAGCTGTCACTCACAGATATATTTTCATACAGTATACCTATACCCATAACATGTAATAGAAAGTAATCATAAAAGTCATCTTTACTAGCTCTTATAGCACTACAGAATCCTTACAAGTGAGAGGACTGATCCAATCCAAACTATCATTTGTTATGAATGGACTGCATTTTGTCTTAAAAGCCAATTATTTTTTTCTTTATCGAGGCCAGTTGGAAGCCTCAAGAACCTCACTGAAGTTAGGTACTACTAAGCATGTCCCTGTGGCCTTGTGCCTTTATGAAAAATAAATTTAATAATTAATCACACATTGATGAAGTAATAATGATAAAAGACATCATTTTATTACTAACATATTAAATGTAGTGTTATTGGTGTTGAATGACGACATACATTCAGGCATCCCCACAAGAAATAATGGATCGGCCCATAATAACGCAAGATTTTATATTTTTCAGGTTGATTTTTAATCAACAAACATTACTACCCCACTTTATAACCAAAAACAGTCTTTTTGAAAGTCCAATTGATGAAAAAAATTATCAAAACACAGCATCGTTCAATATTCCCATTACAAAGAATAGGGCGATTGAGCTTCCAGACATGAGCCTCCACATCCACCTTCGAACTGACATTTGTCCCCACGAAACAGGAACCCCCTTAACATTATGTTTTGAAAATCACAGGAATTAATGTCTAGTAATCGCTCTTTACATTGATACCTCATTTAAAAGAATGCATAAAGGCATTAAAAAGTTATTGTTAATTAAAAATGAAAATTGAGAACAAATGTGACAAATCCACCTTTTTTGGGATCCGACCTCGCGACGTGTGTGAGCAATTAATTCTCAACCAAAACAGCCATTGAACAATAAAATGAGACTTTCACAATGCAGGTATATTTTTATTTATTATTATTCGCTAATCCTCAAACTTGGCTGTACTTCTACTATGGCTAGGCCTAGCATTGTGTAGCTTCGGGCCCACGACTGTGTTTGAAGTTTTCGGGCCTGGCACACCCTTCGACAAACGAGAGTGCTCGACCCCGGGGTAAGAAACAAAACTTTTTCAGCTGAGATGGATGGCATTCCAGTTTCTTTTCTTTTCTCTTTTTTTTTTTTTTCTTTTTTTCATCATGTAGCTAATTAAGGCCTACTCTATGTTATTGTTTTCTTTTTTTATTATTATCATTTATTATTCAAGTATGACTTATGTAGCCATGTCAAAAGAAGGGTATGTATTAAGTAGTCCTAGACCTAAAGTATAGTAATTTTAACGCAAATGTAGGCCTGGAAGCCTACACAGAACAGTAGTTAGGGCCTGCCCTTAGACCTAAATAAAGTATTTGTGGTTGTGTGTGTTGGTTGTGTTCACAACAATAATCCTTACATACAGTATAAGTAAACAACACATGTCAATGAATGACAAGAAAAAATTAAAAATAAGAACATTATTAATTACTGACAAACAAGTAACACAGCACAGCCACACAGGAGCCTTTTCTTCTTACTTACAGATACAAATAATAATACTAACTAGCTTCGTTAGATAGTTAGGATTAGGAATTTAGTGAGGCTAGGCCTTCGCAATACTTCAAAAAAGGGTAAGCCTAGGCTAGGCCAGGGCCTAGCCAGTAGACCGTGACGAGTGATGTCGAGACTAGACGGCCGTAACCAGGTACGTCCAAAGCCAAAAAAGGAGCACACCACCCACACACACAGGCTAGACTAGGCCTAGCTAGGCACAGGCATCCGCCGCGTGAACGGACAGAAGAGACGAATACAAAGTAGAATAAAGGTGAAAATTAGTTATCAAGGTGAAAAAAAATTCTTAAATACAATTTCCGTCAATTCTGATTACATAACTATGCATTAGTGAATAAACGTGTAATTAAAACGAAATGAAAATATATCTACCTCCTCGGACAAACAAGAAATGTCTAATCATACAAATGACCCTGCAGTAACCTGTGAACCTACAATCCTGACCTCTCAAAATGTTAATATGTATCCGCAAAAGCTTTACAAAATGTGTATATTTATTGGAATACTAATGAATGAAACTTAAAAATACTTATGCAACATTTTATTATTTTAATGAAATTATACATTGATTTATTTATTTTTTGTATTGTCTGCTCACAGCATATTCTCAGCTTAGGTGTGTCATGTCATTCGAAAACTCCCGGGGTATTTAAAAAAAACTTCAGCAACTTTAGCACAATTAAATCAAGAATTTCGGTGGTAAACCTCATTAAAATAATGGAGAAAACGCAAGAAGACTCAATCTTAATGCCTCAACCAAAGTTTATAACAAAGGTTAAACGAGTAAGCTGTTTAATATCGTAGTACACTTGTATGTTTTCGTTGTATATTCATAAAAATGATGATCCGGATGGCACACCGGCACTGGGCATCAGACTGAGACGTGGGACCAAATTGGCCCAGGCCAACCGGGCCCATTTTTTTCACTTCAGAAAACTTGCTCTGAATTTCTGAATATATTATGTCATACAGGCCCAGTAGTACATTGATTTTGCCAGGAAGGGAGTTGTTGTTTATACTCCCATGATGGTTTGCTTTGTTTTTAGGTGTTTTTTTACATATTTAAAGTTTCAAATTTGAACTTTATGGAAGAACATTTTTATATATGGTTTTAAAATATTTAAATGTCTAAAAACTCTTGGTCATCATCATCCGCTTAATGTTAAATCTGATTTTTAAACTCTGTACATATTCATAATATACAATGAAGATATTGATACAGTAGTTTGGCCGAGACGTAATGTTCCTGCTTTTTGCTCTGAAGACCAGCAGCATCTGGTTTTGGTTGAAATTGAAGTCAGGTCACTTTGTTCCTCGAATAACACTGGAATGAGAGTTAGGTGGGATAAGCGACAATGTATCCTTCCATGTTTGTACTGGCCCTGCACTGGGTTCCCAGGGGCAAAATTTTCAATTTCAAATATTTGGAACTAGGCCTAGACAAAAAAAAAAAAAAAAGGAAAATTTAATTTTTATCTTTTTTAACAGAAGTTAAAAGAAGGAATAACATTTTTAAAATAATAAATGACACTTATATTTAGTTTACATTTGTATAAAAATTCAGAATTCTATACAGAAGGATAGTAATTTTAGTATAATAATTTACTACTGTCTGGATAATGGATGCAAATTTTGATTTCAGAGTAATGTTGGGTGTATTTTTTTCAAATATGAGCCTTTTTTGGTTCAGTAAAACATGATTTTTATAAGATTAAAATACTAAAGCCGCCTAGTCATCCATCATAAGATCTTTCATGGGCTTGAATAATTTCTAGGCCTAACTATCCTTGGCCTGATTGTCCAGTTATCTTATTATTTAGCCTACAAGCATGTCATGATGCCATTTATTTAACCTTTTATATTCAGAAACAAGTTGGACATGGATTTGTATCTAACTGCATGACGACAATGAATGGTTCTAACAAGATGTTCACGCCAAGACCAGCAACTGGCTCTACTAGCTCATTGCTGGACATGAAACGAAAGACATTATGTGTAAGTTATATTCAATCTGAGAAAGAAAGAATGGGAGGGAGGTTGTACCCAAATTTGTGGTAGTTTTTTTTCTAGAAATACATTTATTTATTCTTTCTTTATTCTGAAATACACTTTCAATAAAATGTACTGGTTTCCAAAGTTGTTCAGTTAGATAAAAGTAACAAAATATAGAGTGGAATGTAACTTTAACTAAAGCAAAACATGAAATTTTCATTTTAGAATTTAAGGTACATAAAGTAAGATGAAAATTTCGAAGTAGAAACTTCATTTTAAATCTACAAAAATGCCTAAATATTTCTCTAGAAATATAACTCCAATCAAAATACAAAACAAAAAAATGCGAAACTTTATAAAACATACTGATGCATCACCTAATAAAATAAATGCATTTATAATTTTTATTAATGAAAATATGGTCGTTAAATACCTAGAAGCAAATGATCGTTATTTGCATTGTGTTTATGTAAATATTTAGTTGACATTGTTGTGCATGATTATCACATTTATTTCAGGCTACTGCACAGGGTTCTCCATTATTAGCCAATAAAAGGCAGTCATTGAAGGTACTACAACCCACAGCAGGTAACCAGGATGGTCTTGTTGGCAGAAGTCCTACAAATGACCAGGTGAGTTTAAAGCCAAGCTCCGGAGGAAAAAATAATTTTTTGATGTGTTGTAAAACTGATTTTTCTAAGACACTACAAATGGGGTTCAACAGTTAATGAGTTTGTATCGGTAGTTCACGTCTTGTAAAAAATATAGAATGGTCTAAGTTGCTTACAGCTTAGAAGGCAAGGTAATATGGTAACAGGAGACAAAAGTAAAATAGTTGCAAATATACTTTAATATAAAAACAATGTTGAGGAGTACACTATTAAATCAATACTCGAACTGATTTCCTAACTAAACGCAGGTACATATATACATAGGGACAGGAAACAGGGATTGATGACTCATTTAATTAGTAATGGTCATCATTATTTGGGAGCACGTGCTTTACTGTAGTGGTGGCAACTTCCTCGAGGAATAGTAGGAAAATACAACCTCAGGAATGTACACACAGTTAGTCATAGATTGCAACACTACTACAGCTATGCTCTAACAAGAGGGGTGAACACCTTAGGTGCCATGCAACTATAGAGTACTGTGTTACAGAGTTACAGATTTTTGAATAATTAAAACTGGGGAAAAAAGGGGCAAAGCCACCCTTAAATGTACTAATGTAGCAAATGCTTATGTTTTATTTTATAACCAGGATATCAAGAAGTTAAATTTCAATTTAGTTGGTGAATCTAATGGCGACCAGAATGAGAAAAATGTCTCAAAAGATCAGAAGTCTTCGCACTCATCCAAAAGAGGAAGCAACAAGAAAAAGTTGGCAAAATCCCTTAACAAGAATTCCAGTGTCGGTATTTATGTTGACCCTGCAAAGACAAGCAGCTCAGATGGAAGCAGTAGTGACCCTGAGGCAAGTGGTGGTGTATTTCTATAGTGCTTGCATTTTAATGCAGACACAGACTAATCATTCAATGCCAAATCATCCTACCAGGTACCCATTTATATCCTTGGTGGAGAGAGACAAATGCAGATAAATTGCCTTGGCGAAGGACACAAGCGAAATGCATAGCTTGAAGGTTTGAACCTCCAACCTCAAGGTTGAGAGACCAAAACACAACTGCTGTGCCAACCGCTCCAACTTAAAGGAACAGAAACAGCTAAAGTCAAACTAAATATAAAGTCATGCAAACAATTAATATCTTCATGATTTATGATATTTACAGAGCATGCTTGCATATCTGATAGTTTAGGAGCCTCACAACTAAATACAATACAAAGAAACTAATATTGATGAAATATAAATGTTGGTGATAATATGCAATATTATAAGTGGTAGTTTTTTTTTTGTTTTTTTTTTTATGATACCTACAGAAACAAACTACCACCAATGATGATATATATGCAATGATGACCCAAGGTAAAGCTTTCTTCCTTTGAAAAAATAATCTTACATTTCATTTATAAATGATTGTATATATATTTTCATAAAACTTTTGATCATTGGGATTGGAATATATTCCATAGAGTATAACTTGATTAATAGATTATAAAGAAACATGTATATTTCACTGTTTAAATTGGTAAATAAGTAATTGATGTATGAGCAATGTTCGTCAAACACTAATTCCTCAATGTCATATGTAGATTACTATGCTATTATGTACACCTAATTATATAATATTGCATTATGGTGGTAATGTAATAAGAACTGTACATATTAGATTTTAATTCTCATTGATATATTAATAAATGTGTTTTTCATCAGATGAAGCTCCTGAAGGCTACTGGAAGGAGATTGCTGAGGAAAGGAGGAAGGCTCTAGCTGATACCCTTGAAGAAAACAAAAATGTATGTTTACAGTATTCCTAATGTATTTTTTCCGATTTTACTGCACCCGCACTGCACAGCACTAGAATCGTCCATTTCCGTTGTCCAGTCTCGTCCTCCTGTTGTCCAGTCCCATTGTCCTGTTTTTCTAGTCCCATTATACTGTGTATACCAGCCAATGTTCACATTATAAAATACATACTGTATACTCTTTGGAAAAGTTCATAATAATAATAATAATAGTAATAATATCTCAAATTTATATGGCGCCAATTCCAAACAAGACCAAAGGCGCAACGCATGTGAAAAGCCACCAGAAAACAAGTAGGTCTTAAGCTGTGACTTAATTAAAGTTGCAAATAGAGTTGGAAGAAGTTATGTAATTTGGAAGTTGGTTCCAGAAATAGGCAGAAGCAAAAGTAAAAGAACATTGACCGTACATTCCAATTTATCACCAGAAGTAGCACTGCATTGTAGCTGCTATATGTTCCCAGGGGCCTAGCCCAGTTTTATTCAAAATAGGACCAGTGAGTTACTTTTCTTTATTAAGCTTTTGAATATTCAATTGCAGCTACTTATCACTTTAAATTAAATATTTGATTACAGCTGCATAACACTGTTAATGATCTTACAATTGAGAATGAACGATTGAAAAAAGTAGCAGACCAAGCAGAATACTTTGCTGGAATCATTGAGGTAAATATTTAAATATTTGTTTAGCATTCTAGTGTTTAAAGGTTAAAGGTTATTCATTTATATTGCGCAAAATACGAGTCTCTATGCGCAGAACAAGGGAGCAAATGTAATAACTGGGGAAAAAAAATCCAAGCCAGCACCCAAACCGCAGTATGGGGTTACGCCCTTGTCGCTGAGCAGGGATCTATCAAAACGTACCCTGTCCAGCACCAGTTGAGTCTCGGCCATCCCAGGACTCGGGCGCCTCCTATCCTGATAGAACTACAAAAAAGCTGGCTGGCAAGGGATGGAAAAGGGGAAATCAAAGAGGACGAAATAAGTTCATCATCACAATGTAACATCTGTTTTTAGACAATTAAACTAACACTCTCCAGAATATATCAGTCTTAATTATTATTTTTAATCTGTACCTCTGTATCCATTTTACAATTCATTGATAAATATTTGCTATTAACTTAAATTAATCAAAGTTAAAAAAAAAATAGATTGTAATTTACATGCTAAATTGATTTGTTATTACTGTAATTGATCATCATTTCTTAAATCATATGGAAATTAAATAATTTAAAAAATATAATATTAAACTAATGCACCATCTTTCAGATGATATGTTATTGGTGTATTTACTTGTCATTGAAGAACACAATACACCCAATTCAGCATTGAAAGGATCCCTCTAGAAATGTCTTTTTGTATAATTTTGATGTTTTTTGTTTTAAAATTCAATTCAATTATAAAAATGTTGATAGGGAATGGATGTTTATTGAGAATGGTTTTTTTTATAATTTGAAAAGATAAAGATCAAACCAGAAAAAAGTTTTTTTTTAATTCTCACTATTGTTACACAGGACCTACTTGGTAAGAAAATGGATGAAACCTCAGATAATGAAGACGTTGCTTCAGAATCCAACGCCAATGAAACAAATACAGGTTGCAAACGTAAAAGAGAAGATGATGACGAGGAAGGTGGATCAGACAACAAGGGACCTAGACTATACAGCTCGGATGAGGAAGATGCAGGAGAAAATGTTGAGGACGAAGAGGTGGACGATGAAGAGAACAGTCTTTTTGGAAGTTATGTATGATGATGTATTTGACTCAAGTAATCACATGAAATATATCAGATGTGGACTTCACATGATTCCAGTAAATACAGGAGATAAATTAAACATAGAATTTCCTGCAAGATGCAATGCCTCCATTCTTGCACCAAGTTTCTTTTAAATTGCAGTTAGATTAATTAATAAGTGAATTTGCAATTTGATGTCTTCCTTTGCACTATCGGATGCAAAAATTACCTCAAAATTAGCTTAAGAAACCATTGCTTAATTTTTTTAATTGATTTTTTGTTTTAATTTTTTCCATAAGTTCCAGTATTGTCATTTTGTTTGAGTTGTAAACTGAAAAATTCGGCAAGCTTCTCAGTTAAATACATTTGTTTTATCTTTTAAATTGATTCTGAAAAACAAGTTTGTTTTTTTTTATGAATGATTATTTTATATTTTAGTGTAGTCTGTGCTAAGATTGAATTTAATTTGATCAACCTTCTAGTAGTAAACTTTTTTTTTAAATATTTAGTATAAATTGGTGAAAAGTGAAAGTAAGTTACTTATGTTTTAATTTACAAAATACAAATCAGCCAAGATCCATCTAGAGGCAGTAATTGTAGGTAAAAAGTTGAAATAGTATAAATAAAATGTTAATCCCAAAATGTAATTTACATATGACTTTAGTGTTTTAATTTACAAAATACAAATCAGCCAGGATCTACCTTTAGGCAGTTTTAGGTAAAATGTTGAAATAGTATGCAGTAAATAAAATGTTAGTCCCAAGTATGTACAGCAATAACAAAATGTACACCTCATAATTACAGGCCAACACAATTCAATATACCACAAGCTTGCCTTCATTCATTTATTGTAGGGAAGAAGTGTTTTTTTACAGTCTGTAAGTTCCGTAAAAATCTCTTTACAAAAAGTAAAGATAAAATTTATCTTTTTAAGATAAAATACAGTCTTACCTGGAAAAATTGTGAATTGAAGTTTTGGTTTGTAATGTGTGGGTGGAACTACCTATTGTATTACTCTATAAATATAGGTAATTATAGAAAGTAATCATATACAGTATTTTTACTCTTTAGCAGCATAGAATAGAAATTGTGAACTCCATCTGATTGAGTAATTACAAGATTCTAAGATAATGTACATACTATTTATGGATTATACAGCATTAACTGAAATATATCTGTAAGGCTGTAGTGAATCCCACCAGTATTATAATATGCCATGTAAACTGTAGTGGCCTTAGTGTAAATATTGTTTGTAAATATGTTTTGTGTTGTTAATACAATTGATGTTGTTAAACAGTCTAGTTGTACGTTATTTCTTGTGTGGAATATATGTTGATTGCTACAACAGGATTGGAGAGGGTTCTACCAGTTCCAACTTGGGGCCATGATTGTCATGCACTAAGTAAGGAGATTCAATAGGAGACAAACAATGTACAGTACAGTCACCAGTAATATTCTTTCACAGATGGATGAAAAGACATTGGTCTGACTCTAATCTAACTGGAATGTATATAAATCTATTGTTCTGACACATGAAAAACACCAAGTTAATGATATTACTTTGATGAATAATGACAGCTGACAACATTGTGGTTAGTCCGATTGTTGAATACTTTGGCATCAGCCTGCAGTATGCGATGCGTCTTTTCGATCCTATGGGCCATGGCCGGTCCAATGAGGATATCTAGATAGGTTGCTGATCAAATAATTGGTCTTGAATGATAGAACCAAAGGAACTTTATATTTTATGAAATTATTATTAGAATAAATAATTATTAAAAATACATATTTGAACCAAAGTCCATTGACTTATCGTAAAACTTTTTGAAATAATAAAGTCCCTATTCTGTGAATTTGTTTTTATGGTGAGCTCAATTAATCTAATACAGTATTAGAAGTTAGTAGCACAGGCCTACCCACCCGTTTTGTAACACTAACAGAAAAACGCTTAACACTCGGAAATATTAAAACAGGAAGATAATTACGATACTAGATTGTAGGCCTAAATTAAAAGACAATTATTTGATCCTTGTTCAGAAATTCTTTCAAGTCCTCCCATCCATTGTGCTGAGGCATGGTTCATATGGGAAGAGATTCATTTAAACTTTTTGATATATTAAAACGAACTTCGTGCATTAATTAAACAGACATAACACTCTGTGGTGGATTGATACAAAATCAATAGAGAAAATAATGTTTAATTGCTTAAGATGCGTTATCAACTTCCAAATAAACACTAATAATACTACTGTATATTAATAATAATATGTCCCAGAATAGGTCCAACTTAGAACAATTACAGTAAATTTACTATAATAGCTGATGCAAAAGATAACAATTAATATTTGTAATTACGACAGCGTTAGGCCTAATTACAGATCATGTTTTGTTCTTTCTATTTTACAATTAAAACTAATAACTAAAACCAGGGTACAGATCTTTTTCAGCTTCCAGATGAAAAGACGGTGTGTGTGTGGCCAATGTTTTCCCAGGCCATAAATTTTACATTTGAGGGCGCTACAAATTTGGTAAAAAGTCGAGATTATTCGACGATGTGGAGCGCGGTTCTACAAATTTCATCTTGTTGCGTATCATTCTTACTTTCAATTTTAAAGGAATAGAAACCTTCTTTTACGACGAAAAGTTAGTAGTATCAAATAGTATAAAAAGTGCTTATTTATTTTGTAATCATATTGTCATGTTCGATGTATGACTCTAGTCCTAGGCTAGTCTTAAGAATGCTAGGCCCGGCCCTACTACTACATTACCAGGCCTAGCTTGATGAGGACGGGTGCACAGGTGGCGAGACTACGCACGTGGCGATGCCTTTGATTTGAGGCCTAAACTTGACCTACAAGTACCAACGTAGCCTAGGCTAGAGCAAGGGCTTAGGCCTAGGATGTTGCTAAATAGATAAATACAAAATCTGTTTTTTAAAATCAGTAGTGCCATTGTAATTAATAATAAAATTGGGGGTTTAGGACCAGTTTCAATATCATACGCCTTTTCCACAAATCGGTAGACATCATCATGAAGTGATAATTTTTGAAAATCAAGGAAAGAACTGTTGTAGGCCTAGGCCTATAAGTATTTTTTTTTTTTTTTTGATATAGGCCTACTACTGGCAGTTTGTTTAATTATGGATTTCATTACATAGATAGAAAAGTCAGTCAAAAATGTTGGAAAAGAGAATGATTTCATTTTATCAAAGTGTACGTATGGAATGCCAAACTAGAGGTCTGATTTTGCTTGCAAACTATACAAAAAAATTCACCTTTCCATTCTATAATACTCCTTAATTTCATATTAAATATTTTTAACTTTATTTTTTCATAGACTTTGCCTACTGCAATTTAAATTGAAGTAAATGACCCCATGGCCACAATGAAAGAAGACAATCTGGAAGAACAGGAAGATCCAGATATCTTGGAGTCTACTAGAGGTAAACAGGGGTGGATTTGAGTGTGCGGGGGCTATTGCACTACAATTGTTTTTCATGTGAGAGCCCATTAACTTTACTTACCTTGTAACTTTCCTGCTTCCTACATTTTAGTCCTCGAAAGTAGTATTCATCGTATCGTAGGCATACCTATATAAGCATTTATTTTTTATTATTATTTTTTTTAATTATTTATATTTAGGCACACATTACATGTGACAAGGATTGTCAATAGTGAATATATTATCACTGTCCTACTTGTAGGTGACCATCCCTTACACAAGACAAACATACACACACGATGCTTTACACAAACTAAATCTCAATATGGGATTTAGATAGTGGAGTTATTTTGGTTGTGAGAAAAAATCCTGCAACACTAACAGGAATTGAACCCAGGACCTTGGGATTGGAAGGCAAGCATCTTAACCACCAAGCTTTTCAACTCCACTCATTTATTGTTGATTTTTATTACAAGGAATTTCAAAGCTGATAAATCTGTATTACAGTCAGTAGCGATTAAATAAATATACTGTATACCACCATATTTATTTGAATAAATGCTCCTCGAATAAACACCCCCTTCAGAGCCTCATTTTGAATAAACGTCTCCCGCAAATAAAATCCTTGAGGCATTTATATTTTTCTTGATTAAACCCCACACTAAATGACTAAGCAAATCTAATGGAAGCAACATCATTCTTAACACATTCCATTAATGTCCCACTCCAGTAGAATTACATTTTTTCTAACCTGGTTGGGATCGATAAGTCTTCATCATCACGCAATAACGCATTTTGACAGTAATATATACGTTATACTTCCACATTTACAGTACAGTGAAATTGGGGTGTTTATTTTACACCAAAAAAATAATTGCCTCTCTTGAATAAATGCCCCCTCAAAAACCCTTCTGAACAACAGACACCACAGGTGTTTTTTCGAGTCAATAGGGTAAATATTTGTCTCTTGTGAAGGGTCCCCACCTGACAATGATTTACTTCGCTTTTGAGGTGTCCTCCTTGTCTCATGTTTTACCTCCCATTATTGTATAACGTTATATTTGTTTTTGTTATTTTATGTTTTGAGATGATTAAATGAAATGAAATAAATTGAAAGGACATCTGCCCTTTTGCTTTGTAGATCAAAAATGTCTTCCTTATAAAATGTCATTTTCATTGAAAATTTAGCAATTAGAGTGGAGAATTATGCATCTTGCCGTGCTGATGAGATCAATACAATGGTGCGAGCGCTTGAGGGTCCACGTAAAGGGAAGCGAATCTTCCAGCGTTTGCCACGTCACATGAGAAGAAGAGCAATGAGTCACAACGTGAAGAGACTTCCTCGAAGCATGAGAAGCCAAGGACAGAAGGAGGTACACAGACCAAAATTGTTTTTCATTTTACCCCCAACTCACACTGTTTATTGTTTTTTGGCGAGACTTTTTTAATACCTTAGTGAACTAATATTTTTTAAAGATGGTCACTGGAGGGTGGAAAACAAAAAAAAATTGTTTTCTTATTTAGCAAAATTATTTTCTTATTTAGCAAACTTATTTTGCCAAAAGCATCTAGGCGGGAGAGGAAATATAAATAAATTGTTATGGACATTGATAGCGCCTATCCTTTCGAAAAATTTAAGTAGTTTAAAGCTCTGCTCACATGGACCGATTTATCTCCAAATCGAGGGATTAATTTCCTAAAGGAAGAATTTGAGTGATTGCATGCCAGTTGGTTTTGAGAAATTTATTTAGAATGTGTCTCTTTATCACCCCATTGGGGATAAGAAAAAATAGGGTTTTTTTTTTTGTTTTTTTTTTTGGTGGAACGCGCTGTATAATTTTTTCAAATTTTTTGCCTCTTTTTCTGGCTAAATTTTCTCCTTCAATTCTCCCACACCGCCTCTCCCCTGGGCATTTTCTTTTAAAGTGGCACACTTAGTTTAATGATAAATTATTAATAAACAAAGTAAGCCTGTTACAATTAATTTTAGATTGTAGATTAGATATTACATGTAGGAATATAAATACACATTCTAAATTCATGCTGAAATACACTACACTCTGTAATGCAACAGTTTAATGTTGATTTGCAAATGTTTTTTGACATTTGTGGCTACCATCAATTGAAACAATAATCCTTTTATTTATTTTTTTTTTTCACAGATGAACAAAAGCAAACCAGCTCAAAAGCGAGGAGGAGATAATATTGATAAAGAGGACGGTGAACCAACCAAAAAGAAGTCTCGTCGGCATCGCAGAAGACCAAGTAACTTACGAAGCGAGTTCAATCGACGTCAAAGACGGTTTATTTGGTTAGAGACTCACTTGTGGCATGCAAAGCGATTCAAAATGGTGGACAAGTGGGGACATCGAATCCCCTTACACTCGAATGAGAAAGGGGTTCGTGCTGCCTATAGAGCTGTAGTGAAACACTGCCTTATGCAGGTGAGTTGGGTATTACAAACTCTTAATCTTGCCCACACTATCAAAAAGCTGTTGTATGCCCATATATAGTCATCATGTGCCTATATATGGCCATGATGTGATGTCATAATGACCATATATAGGCATGTCACATGTTTTGCCAAATAAAATTTGATAAGTTTGGAAAGGGCTTTACAGAAACAGGGAACTTTAATTGGGCCCCAGGCAAGAGTAGCGCTAGCGGGGTGTCCGGGGGAAAAGTGTGGACCCCTTGTCGGGGAGTTTGGACCCCTTGTTGGGAAATTCCTGGCTACGCCCCTGGCACCGGGATGTTACAATACTGACAGTGGTGGAATCTCTAAAATGCCACAGTGAATGTCACAGATTTCTTTGTGGTTTCACACATTTTGCTTGATCCTATATCACTGTAATATTGTGCATTGACTTCCATAATGCATTGCTCAAGGAGTATTCCTGCCAGTCACTAACATCAGACACCAAAATTCTGCAGCTTGTGATATAACACTAAATATCTGACTATTTATTATAATTATTTGTTATTGTCAGTACGATTGTAATCTAGTCAGATATCCAATATATATGTTTGATGTTAATACACCGATTAACTGAATGTTTTTTATCACGTTTAAATGCACAATAATAGATTCCACCATTTTACTTTAAGGGGTGTATGGTTTTATTAAATTAGGAAACTTTTCTTGCAGGATATTTCATATTTTGGAGCAGTGGAATTAGTGGGAACCCAGGAGAAGATTTTGAACGTGATGAATCTTATCACTAACAGAGAAACAGGTAAGAAAGAATGTTTATGAAATTATGATTATGAAAGATGATATAGGATTATCCTCTCCATTTACATGATCCCACACCTCCTATTTATTTAAATGGAATTGCTTGACATGTGAAAACGCAAAAGCTGGCGTAGCATTACTGAGTGGTAAACAGAAAATTCATAGGCACTCTTTCACTTTCTTGGCCTAGCGTGCTCGCACTTGCTACATCCGAAGAGAAGACGAAAATGACTTTAATAATTGAATAAAAATAGAAAAATTCTAATGTCTTAGATTTGATTTTTTTAAAATTCCTAATATATTTAACTATGCCATATATGAATTTCATAGATGTAGCTTTTGTATTTTTGGCACAACAAAAAGAAAAGATAACCAGTATCCTGAATTCCTGTGCATTTGTCCTATACTCGACAAATTTTTTGCCTACCAGTGGAGTGTGCACCGCCAGTGTCACCACCAGGCCAGTGGACACGCAGAAAGGGATCTATAGTATTGAGACTAAGGTATTTTTTGTCCTTGTGGCAGGTGTTAATTTATCTGAAGAGAGGTACTTAAATGGGTCTCATCATGGAAGAACTATCTTATACAAAGATGAGAAATACCCCTATGAAGCGATTGGCCCTGCAGACTTTATGTGGGACCCTGTTGAAGACAGCACCAGCCCATTAGATGGGAGAACAAGACAGCTATGGTTGTGGTTACATCCAGCTTGTTACGATGAAGCATTTGAAGAGCTAAAGAGGGTGTGCTCAAAAGATGGCACAGCTGGTAAGTTAGCATTTTAACTTTATGATAAATTGGTGGAGGTGGTGGGGAGGTGTTCAATAGAAAGAACTGAATGTTGGACCATTTTTAGAAGATCAAACAGCATAATTTAAAAATGGTGAGCAGATGGCATTTTGCATTTTTAAGAAACAGGTTCAATTAATTCTATGATCTTGTATGAAGAAATATTACAGTAACTACAAAATACTGTAACTTCCAATTTTGTGACACAATCATCCTTTGAATGTTGACATCTTTACCCTTCCTTTCTGTGATTGGCAGCTAAGTTACTGATAGTCTGATGTAATGGGCAATGTAAATAATGTGCAATTTAGATTCGTCTACAATACATTATACTGCCTTCTGTTCCCCCGTTATTTATTTATTCACTTACTCATTTTTTATGGTAATTTTGTTGTTTTTATGACATAATTGTAATTTTAACTTTTTTTGCCTGAATTTTGTATATTGAATATTGAATAAAAAATCCATGAATGAATGAAAAATGAATTTCTGTGCTACCAGTGCTTTTATTCTGTTGTCTTTCCTTCCAGTATTTGTCAGACAAACTTGCTAGTGTTCATAATCATACTATATTAGATATCACATTTGTCAAATCAAATGCATTTATGTTGTTATTGCTTTTTTCACTACAAATTTTTACTGTTTCCAGTCCGAATGTTAAATAAATAGTAATTTCTATTTGTTATTTCATGTTCCAGGAGTTGTGGTAAATGACCTTCGAGCTGACCTGGTACGTTTTCATTTTGAGGGTCCATTGTCACATTCAGTGCTGGTCGATGCTTTAAAAATTTCTGATGTCACATGTCATCCAGATGCCAGTGAAGAGCGCCACTGGTGGGAGAATGTCTACCAGGTAGGTTTACTGTTAATACTGCCACTTATTTTTTGTGTATCGTGTTGTTGCTGTTTATTGTTTTTTAAATTTACGTTGTTAGATTGTATAAAATTGTTATTCAATGGGAGGAGCCAATGTGGGTTACCATTTATTTTTTCCACATCCCTTTTTTCTTTCTTTTTTACCAAGTGGTTCTTTTTGCCAAAAATTTGATTTTAAATCTAGAGATATTACGTGCAGTAGTTGCCAGAAGTAATTTGAATCATGCTGGTCTGGTTAATGTATAAGTTTACTGCATTCATTGCATGAAATGTTGTGCATAACCCTGGATTGATATCTATAATTGCTGCAAAGCAGCAAATTCATATTCTTGACAGCAATTTGACCTCTGAAAGGTCATTGTTTGTCAAAAGACAACGGCCTAAGAGGACTGAAAAGCAGAGTTTACTTCTTTCGTTCTGCCGGGTAAAATCAATTACTTTAGGCGACGTTTGTAGACTAACCAACACATAGCAACGTCCGCATGTCGCGTTAGCCTAAATTCTACTCTAGGCCTAGACTAGCTAGGATGCGATAGGCCTAGCCTTGAAGGGACGAAGGTCCCATTGAAAAACAACGTCGCTCCTTGATAGCTAACATTGTCTATTTAACATCACAATAATTCATTATTAGACCTATAGTTGTTTTTTGAATTGTACTCCACAAATCTCAGCCGATACCTCGCACAACTCGAGTAACGTCTCGTATCTATTGTCGCGACGTCATGGCTCGCTGGCTCACACTTGCGGTCTCGCACTTGTGATTAAATAACACGCTAGCTCGCACTTCGGCAACACTCTTTGGCAGTCAACTCGCCCCTAGAAAACCCGCCCTTGGAAACTTGCCTCATAAAAAAATGTACACTTCCTAGACCATGCAGTCTTCAAAATAAAAATTGTAACCTTTGGTAATCAACTACATTTTCCACATACATAGAAATTTTTGAAACTTTATTAAAAAAAACCTAAACAATAATTCACCACTTAAGACACTTTTTGACAAAAATGAAAAATTACGACTTATGTTACCCAATGAGAAGTGTTCTAATATAGACAATGGGTCGTGTCTCATATTATTTGTTATATTTTTATTATTCATTATTTTCACTTGACTCGCATAAATAATTTTGTTCGAAGAACATTTATATGCAGGTGTACTTCGCAGCACTTCACTTGCAATTTGCAATTTCTTGTATAATTATAATTTTATGTAGGGTTTTAAACTCTTGTCCACTACCAAAGCGGGGGTTAAGGTACGCAGATATTGTAAAGTAACAAATTGAATATTAATGACTATGCTATTGGCAACAACCAAATTTATTTTCATCAGGCCTAATACGTGTGTAGACTAATTTTAAATTTGTAACACTTCATCAGAGTGAGAAGGCTGGGTTCAATTCCCAGTAAGGGGAAGACTGATTTACTACCCCCTACCTGGACGGCAATGCTCTGGTGATTGTGTTATGAGATTTTCTATTAAAATTTGATGATGTTATCTGATAAGAAAGTCAAGACAAAAGAGATTACAAGGAATTAGTACTATAAATAATAACTTTAAATATAAAAATAAGCTGAAAACAATGAAGATTTAATTTTAAACTAAAATTGTTAATGAAATTTTAGACACATTTAAAGAGTTTATTTGCTGCTACTTGAGCAAGAGTGGCTTTAGTCTGTTTTATATTTATATATGGGAAGTTAACTGGATAAATAGATCTAGGTACAAAGAAGTAGAAGGTATAAAATTTGGAGATCCCGAAAACATGGATGAAGTAATTAAAAATGACCTTAGCCCCAAGGGCTTTTAGAGAGACTTGCTCATGGCAGAGTAGCGTGGAAAACTGCCCTCATTAGAGAGAAGACAAACCTGTGCTTTGCGCTTTTGCATGGAAAATGCATTTAAGGGCAGCAGCAGGAACAGCAGCACCAGTAGGCGTAACAGCAACAACCCAAGCAGTACCACCCCCACCCACCGCCACTATTCTTATTCAATTCAATTCTTATTCAATTCAACTTTTATTGTCAAACACAGTGAGAACATGGTTTGAAATTCTTCTTGTTTGTACAAATTCTATTTGTCCGCATCCTTGGATATAACATACGTCCAGTCCTGCTGAAGGCGAGGTACTGATTAAGAGGGTGATTAACATCTGATATAATTACTTCCATTTTTTTACACATTGCACTGTTAATACAATCTTCTATATTTATACTGTTTTTAGTCCCAATAATTCTGTCAGCTGTTCTACTAATTCTTACAACTTTTTTCATGTTCTGTTTATCAAGGCTATAAAACCAGACTATTGCACAAAAAGTTAGAATTGATAAAATGACTGATTCATAAAAGAGTACCATGATTTTATTACATACATGAAATTTCTTTAAACGTCTTAGGAATTACAGCCTCTGATTGCACTTACTGGTAATGTGCTTTGTATTCTCTTTCCAGTCAAGCTTATCATCAATAATTGTACCAAGATATTTATGGTGTTTAACAATTTCAACCTTATCATGTATAATAGTCAGGTCATATGTGTCTTGTTGCCTTTTCTAAAATCAACGATAATCTCCTTTGTCTTTTTAACATTTAACTTTAAATAATTATCTTGGCACCATGCTGAAAAGCGATCGACATTCTCAAGATATACCTGAGTGTCATTATCCTTCACAAGGCCAACTAGGCAAGTGTCATCTGCATATTTAACAGTAAAAACTTGCCACTGGCACCAGCAGCACTAGCGCCATCTGCAGCAGTAGTAATAATTTATATAGCTTGCATCCATTGTTGGGAAAAGGCTATAAGGAACCTATTAATAGTTGTTTAGGAATTCAGCAGAGGCTAAATTGTTTCCGGCAAAACATTCACAACCTACCAACCAACCAGGTACCTGTTAAAACACTCCCTGGCAAAGAGAAACAAATTTAGGCCAAGTACCTTGCTCAAGGACACAAGCAGTGTAAACAGCTCAGGACTTGCTCATCTCAAACCAATTCCTAATTCTATTCTGATTAGATGGTTTTGTATGTATGGATTGGATTAGGAAAATAAATTCCAATCAGAATTAAGAATTTGATTAGCCGCTACATTAAATAAAAGCACAAAGCATTGTAATTTTTAATTATTCACCCACTTCTTACTTTTTTCAGTGGCAGATACAGAAATTTAAAATAGAGGTGATCCGGGGTGAAAGTTTTACAGATAAAAGGTCCAGACTACTTCAGCCCTACCATAGTTGGGGCTGAGATAGGGACTTTATGTCTATGGCACTAGAGGGCTGAAATAACGTTTCCCCCATTTTTTTTATATGCCAAATTTTGGTGGAGTTCCCCCCTCCCACCCTGTACATCCCCTTCCCCCACATGGATTTCCCTCTGCTAATGTACTTCCTGTATTTTGATGCTTTAACGGTATATTATATTTGAATTATGTTGATGGTCACAATAGAAAGACAACATACTAATAGTGTTTAGTGTTTATCATTGTTGTCTTTTAAAAATACTTTCCTGCAAAGTTTCCCATAGAAGTAGTGTATGAATATGTTTATATTTCTTCATATTAATTTAAATAAACCATCCACCCGAGCTGTCACTTAAAGCCCTTGATGTTATATAAACAATTCTTATTTTTAGTCCATTTATTAAAACAACTGCAGTTTAATTGAAAATTATTTAACTCATTCATTATTTCATTTATACTATGATCCTTTCTGTAGTCAATCAATTTATTTGTTGTGCTTATTAGTTCAGTTGCAGTATTATGTTTTGAATATGGCTACTCCAAATGTTTGATGTAATAGTATGCTAAAATATTTAGAAAATTGTAATTTCTTTTAAAAATAAGTATTTACCTCTGACTATTGTTAAAATCTGTCATTTAAAAAAAATAATTAAATTAAAAATGAAAGAAAAAATGCAGAATGGCCTGATCTTTGCAAATGGAGTATAATGCTGCAATTATTTATTTAATTTTTGTCATTATTCCAAATTTGGAATTAGAAATTGTGGTTGGATCCCTGGGGAGATGGATACATACACATTAAAAAACTCATTTTTATTATTTATTTCTTGTCTTACATTTACATATTTCACAAACCATTTAAAAGTATTTATATCAATTTTTCCAATTATGATCTTTATCTGATTCAATGAGCTATTTTGCTGTCTGCTGAGATTTTTCTACCTGAAATTTTTTTATGTTCTGCTTCTTCAGGATTCAAATAGGTTGGCAGCTTTCCAGGAACAGTCCACTTTATGGGAAGGTATGTCTGTTGAACAAACTGCAACTGACTTTGACTCCAATTGCATCTTAGCATTAACAGTGAGAGATCCAAGACATCTTTTGCCAAAGAAGAGAGGGCAAGTTAGTGATCCTAAAAAAGTAGGCAAGTGTAATTTTTTTTCCTTCTTTTCCATATGCCAAAGCATAGAGGGCGCCATTGTAATGAAAATCATTCCCATCAACCATAATAAAATACGAACACCAATACAGTATTTATTGTTTGATTATTACTTCCTGGTTCGTCCCTGAGCTTCCAGGTTGATAGTTTGTGTTTTGGGGACTACTGCCAGCGAGTTTACATGAAATACAGTAGTGGGATATTTGGACAGGTGTGGAGATAAAATGTAAACTCGCATCCCTGGCAGCCAACGTGTTTAAACCGCCAAGTGACAATTTCCATACTTAAGTAGGCTATGCAAATTGAAACTTGTCAAATTTATGCAAATTACAAAAGCCATTCTCATACATTCTTGCTTTATCATAAGTGTTGGGATATATTTACTAAGATGCATACATAACATCCACATTTTACTTTTTTGTTTAATCCCTTCACAAGATTAAACTAAGTTATATATGATATATTTTATCATTTTATCATTTTGAAGAACGCACAAAAATGTCTGAGAGAATGAACAGCAGCTGTACTTGGTCACCTATCTGGGATCAGAATGTCAGGAAGGAGGTAAAGACCATGCAGATGTCTCAGCATAAGATCAACCAGATGAGATCTGAGCAATTGGTTCCTGGCACACCATTAAGTCTTGGACGGCAGGAGTCAAGAATTCCAGTCGTCCTCCTCCAGAACCCAGGCTACCAATCACTTTCTGGTGGAAAGCATCATAAAGCTCACTTTGGAATCTTGGGATATGGAGCCGGTTGGGATGTTATCCTTCCAAGTGGTTGGGGAATGGAATTTTGGGTAGCATTCTACTACAGAGGTGCGCGTGTTGGTGGGATACGCGAAGCAAGCAGCTCACGCCGTCAGAAAGGAGCTCCAGAATTCCCGTTAGATTTTCCAGATACACAGAGCGGCAAGATGTATGGTGTGAATCTGCAGTCGGAACTTGAAACAAACTACTTGAAGAAACCTCCAGCTAAACGTCTGAACTATTCAAAGGTTGGAACAGAGAATCCGTTTATCCATCCCTGGTGGCAACTCATTTTATATTGGGAAAATGAAATAAAACAGGATGAAATGGATGATGAAATGAAGGAATCTCTCGAGAAGGTAGAATTAATGGAATGGAATCCATCCGCTAAACAGATTCCATCCACTGAAAGAACCAACATATTTGTTCTCAGAAACATTCAGTACTTGAAACAATTACAATTGCATTGTGTTGGTAAAGTGTTTGAAAAATCCAAAACGCTTATTCCTGAGGTGAAGCGGCAGCTTGATAAAACCGAGTTTGGAAGTATGCAAACAGAATCAGCTGGAGAAACCAAAACCAACATTCCCCCTCCTTTGCCAAGCGAGCTACTTTTCAACCTGAAATCTTCACTTGTATTTGTGACAATGCGTATGGTAAATCGTGGTGCGCCATCAATATTTGCAATGATTTGCCTACCAACCGAGGAAGATTTAAATTCTTTAGAGGAAAACCCATCTTCCCCCGGTCCTATTGAGCCTAAACACACAGGTTTACCAACTCCAAGACTTGCTAAGGAAAGTAAATCAGTCAAGAAACTGAAAACGACGAAAGATGAATGCACAGGAGGAGATGAAATTGATGGCAAAGGTGGTCAAACTAAACTGGATGAAGAAATCCTTGACAAATTACAAATGTCGTCATCAGAATGCTCTTCATCAACCACTAACATCAACTGTTGTAGTAGAACAATTATCGGCTATGTCACAAATGGAGCCCACAGCTTCTCGACTGGAGTAGGCGGTTCCGTTGGCTTGTGTAGCCTCGTAGGGTTATCAAAGCTTTTGCGACAAAAGTTGCTACACAGAAATGCTGTTGTGTTGATACGTGATGCTAACTGTCATCAGTACAGATATGCTTACCTCAATATTCAGACCAGCATTTGAGATCCAGTGGATGACAGTAAGTAGCTAGGTTCTGCTCATATCTTTTCATTTAAAACACACATTCCGCTAGGTTGGTCATGTGACGTATAGTGGGTATCAATTGTAAACATGCAGCGCAAGCAACGCTCGGTACAGGAAAACGCGTAGCTTCTTTGGAGTATTTGATGTTGAATAATGTTGGTTGTAATGCCAGTAACTACACCAAATTGATTGCAAATTGAAATTTGAGTTTGATATAATGGTTTGTTAATGCTCCAAAAGATAATGTCTCAAAACATTCAGATTTTTTGAGAAGTGCTAGGCCTAGGCCCCTGCATGTCTACGGTCTGTCTAGATATGGACGAGAATCTTCGATCCGCGAACTGCAATTTTGACACGCTACGATTTATAAGCTAGCTTCGGTTTACGAAGGATCACATAAATTCAAAAGCATACAAAGTACATGGAACGCTAGAATAAGTAAATATACACTATTTTAAACAAACATTACCCTTTCCTATACTTTAGCACTGATCGCACTGTAAATTCTCCATAGTAATACCCACTATATGTCACATGACCGGCTGTAAACAAACATCGCTGAATGGGTCTATTGATGATCCTGTAGCGGATCCGGGGGGTGTTGAGCTCCCCAAATATACAACATCCTACCTCTCCCTGAGGAGCAGCCAAAAAGTCTTCGGATAGATGCTAGATTGAGGCAACCTCACTGGATGTGTCCCGCAACTACAGACATTTATGCAATTGTATAATTGTTACCAGGAATCATAATCTGTGTATCTATGTACTGTACAGCAAAAGATTTTTGCAGAACCCATACTTTTACCTAAAAATGAATAAAACTAAAAAAAAATGTTTTATTTTATTGTAAGTAAAACAGAAAAATTTAAATATTAACATCTAGCTGAAAGATGAAATAATTTACATTTAATTATGTCATTATTTTATTGCACTGAAGTATGACTATTGACTGAAATCAAGAAATTTATATTTTTTTTATTTAATTCAAGAATATAATATAACGCCTTAGTGTCTAGTATAGGCAGAAGGTTTTAAACAATGGTCACAATGCACTTTATGGATTGTATAGATATAATAAATAAATTCTACAAAGGGATGATTATCCTAAACTACTGTATCGCATGATTACATTGGGCTGACACTAAGACAGAAGACAATTGGATGATTAATTTTTTCCCACCAATATAATCTTTATTACAAAATACTGGATATTTTAATACTTGAAAACCATCAAGGAATTGCATATCACAAGGTTAACTTACCATAAGCTGCACTACATTTGAAAGACATTAGTAGATATCACATTACTACAAACATGCATCATATGCTGTGTATTATGTTTTATGTATGTTTAACATTTATCATGAGGCTAGCCATCCCAAAACAGCATCAGTGACCAAAAAGGAAAAATAATATATTCTCCACATGTAAGATTTAAAAGGATGGGTCATTTACAGAAATCGACTAACTATTGCAAAGTTATGAGTAAAAGCATTAAGCTTCTCCATACTAAAGAATAAATTACTGCCGCATTCTTATGTTAATTACTCAGTTTAACATCTTGCAACAGTATGTTGGTTTTAGGATGGCAAGCCTCGCATGTTTAACTTCATTTTATCTCTACAAACAATGTTTTATTATAGTCTTCATCATTTGCTATAGAGTATTAGGATTTAGAACAGGTTACATACAGTACGACTCACAGAGAAAACTCTTTAGACCAAATTTATATTCTTATACAGTAGAAGGCCTAAAATGTATTGGGAATCATACAAGTAACTTGTCATGACTGGGGAAAGAATTGAAAAAGGGCAAGTCATTTAGCAAAAAGGAGAATAAATTAAGCATAAAAATATAAAATGATTTGATTTAATAAGTAATATTTACATTTTGAATAGCATAAAATCATGAAAGTTTGATTGAAATCTTTTATGAAGATTAGGCTCCATTCCAAATTGAATTTTCCAGTACTTAATTATTTGAATACTATTTTTTGTTGAAAATTTAGAAATTACATTTTATGTATCATAGTTTAAAATTTGATCAGAAAATAAATAGGTCTAAGAGCATCTGTTTTGCCCTTGTGTTTTCGTTAATGGATGGAATGCGTATTAATGGTAAATATTTTAACTCTGCTGGGTGATTATGCTCCTTGTCAAAATTAATATTACACTACAATATTTACAAAAACCTCCAATATTGCATTTGGTCACACAATTCCCTGAGTAACTTATTAAAACCTTCACATGAGACCGAATAACGAAACAAATTGTACACTATATGTAGTGACAGTCCCATATATACATAATGTTACATCCTCATGTTGATGAACCCAAATTTATTGCCTGTGACACAGTGCATAACCTAAGAAGTATGTACCTATACCATCGTATAACACAACTCAATGCGATTTGTTTTCGTGCTAAGTCGCGATTCAACTTTCATTGGTCTATATATAAAATTTACAGAAATTTCTTTTGCTTGGTGGAAAAAAAATTACATTAAAACAACAAAATTGCTTCGTGCTGCGTTATACAACGCTGTCTGAGTTGGTCTAGGAGTAGTGATATGGTGGTGGAATGGGGGGTGGTTATGGAGAGTGCGATGGAAAAATTGGGGAGGGTGCTAGCTGGAGTTGATTTTTTAATATGTGATTGTAACTTCTGTGCGCAACAATTTTCCAAAGGGACTGCCACCCAATGTTTTTATTTTTCTACAGTTACAAATTTTTATATATTTATCTGAATATTATGATAGAATAATACATTTTCCCCAGCGCCAATGCTGCTCCAGTCATTGTGCAGATGATAGCCATGCAAAAAAGTCCGTAAGAGATGCCAACTTTGGCGCTGGCTGGAAGCAGGAACGACGTTCCTCCAATGATCGGCATGTCAAATCCTGCGGGAAACATTACGATAGCTAAGCAAAAGAGTATGCCTGCCACCACTCCAAAGTATTTAGGGTAGCATTCCAGGGACGGTTGTTTCCTGGTTAAAAGAACTAATAATGCGGCCGTTGAGACCAGCATTAACCCGGCTAGAATTAGCAGAGCTGTTAGCGTCCATGCAATGGGGCTTTCAGTGGCACTACACTGCTCTTCTCGCCCAAATATCTTCTGACAATGCACAAACAAACCTAGGTTGATATTCCCGAGATCTGTTGACACGACCCACTGTGGTGTGATTAGGCTGATGATACACAGCACGGAAGCCATTGTGTACGACACACCAGCGGCTATCATAAAAGAATCCATATTTAGCGTTTACAGCTGCCTTTCTACATTTGTTTTATTGTTTTGCTCTTGATAACCTGCAAACTGTGAAACACACTAAATGTTTTTGATCAGCATCTTCATCTTATTCCTCCAAGATTACACTCACAAACCTAAAAGGAATAAAGGAAAACACATATCCAGGTTATCAATTTATTCCTTCACTATTTACTTTAAAGCTAGCTCTGTCTACATTATCAAATTTTATGAGACTTTGGTGTAAAATGATCGACTCCAGACCAGTGGTGGCGGCAGGGGGGGATTAAGCCCCCATTGGTCTGGTCAAGCCCCGCCATCGGCTACAGCTCGTCGGGCAGTCAGACCAAAACAAAAAAAAATAGGCCTAGTTTTCCCATCCCAGCCATTTCCGGCCATCTGGAAGTCCCAATTTTTGTTTAAACCTCGTTTTGGGAGGAGGGGCCCATACCCACCCCTGGCTCGGGCCTTCAGCCCTCAGATAACACTGCATACTATAGTTTCACCTATAAATACTTAGCCCCCCTCCCCCCATAAATTATATCCTAGAGCCGCCACTGCTCCAGACCCTTAAAATCACTGCCTCTGTTTCCAGTGAGATATTTTATTTTTAACGCATAGACACCTTTAAATTGGCTGGCAGTGGTAATCAATATAATTTGGTAGTAAAAAAGGTTCAGGTCTTTATCAGCCAAGTTTGATAACTGGTTTTGATTTAGTGTTTTTCTTTGAAAGTTAACGTTTGATGATTTCATTTTTTAAACAGGGCAAGGGTTACGCGCATGTCCCAACATATACGTGTTGACCTACAAACGCACGTGTGTAGAGTATTTTACGCGGCGTTTTGAACGCATGATTGGGCGAGGCATGGCAGATAGGGCAATTGCTTTAGTTCATTCTGGAACCGTAAACAGCGTACATTACATGTATTTTAGGTTGTTGTTTCCCCCCTTAACAAACTATTTCATTCATGGTGAGGATGTAAACTTTCATTTGTCTAGTAATATACTGTACAAATTAACCAAATTCCAAAAAAGGAATATCATAATCCTCTTTGTATTTGGATCATCAGTGGCGAATCCAGGAATTCGAAATAGAGGAGAGAGGTAGGGAATCTTATGAAGGGTAGTTATTCTACGTCTGTGTACGCATGGATCCGGAAGTGAGAACAGAGCTCAGTCAGTCAATACTTTACATACGTATCTGATTGTTACGACCCTGCTACCATTTTAAATAGACCTACGAAGAATGGAACATAAATACGTTCATTTCATTTTAGTTTTGTGGCTAATGACAGCTCAATCTTTATTACATAGCTAGCGTCAATTCTTATATATATTCCATACCTTTTACAACTGCAATTCTGAGTGCAAATATAACTACTGTACTGTATTTCGCTATGGCCACTATCGTATCGTCGCTCACCCAGTCAGTATATGTCGTGACGTAAAATCGTGTCGATACGCATTTATTGACATGCAGATCTCATCAGACAGTGTTGCTATGCAACGCATTCATTAGTTCGAAGTCGAGTCACAGGGTATTTTCATTTACGGTATAAATCCAGAGGTGACGGAACTGCTCGTTTTCGGCAACATTAGCGCCGTGACGTCAGTAAAGTGATAATATATAATTATAAAGAGCTAATTAAACACATATAGGCCTATTGAGGTTATGTCATATCACATATATTTTATTAAATTATTTCACCATTTCAAATTTACAAAAACGAACATAAAAATTTTAAAATTTTAAAACGACTCATCAGTACCTGAGAGGTTTGCTCAAAAGAGGGAATGCCCATCTGTCAGGGAGCTCCCCAGTACAAACCGGAGAAACAAACATTTAACAGAAATATAGTTATTATTTGCAAAGCACTTACTAAACTACAGTATATATAGATATTATTATTATTAAACACACGTTTTTCCAAAAACAACGTGTATACGCGTAGATATTTAGACGTAAAAAAATGCTGCTATTATTGTTGTTATCATCACTATTAATAATAATAATAATTATTATTATTATTATTATTATTATTATTATTAATTACCAATATTATTATTGTTGTTTTTATTATAATTAATAATGTCTAAACATTTTATCATGGATCTTATTAATAGGTCCATGATTTTATGAATATTCAAACGTGTTTACTATAATTTAAATAAGCGCACTAATAATAATATGAACAATCAATTCGATGACCAAGCCCACTCCCCCACCCTTCCTGCTCTCATCTCTGACTGCTGTCGGTCAAAATGGGTTTTTGATTTCCGAATGTGTAACTTACAGTAATAAGAACTGACGTAGTATTAACCATTGTGTGTGATCACTGGTACAGATATCCTTTGTACATGTTCAAGTGCCCTGCACTTAACTGGCTTATAATTTATGCACAAGAAGAACTTCGTTGATTAATGAAATGTATTTTTAGAAGATTAATGTCTTCTTCACTTCAGTCCCGTCTTCACTCCATTAATTCTTCTGTTGCCTTGGTAACATCAAGGCCCGGCGATAGCAAAGAGCTCGACTATTTTTCGTAGTGATTTAAACCTGCTATTCCTTTTCATGGATTAAGTTTCTTTCGTGGACTTCTGCTTGAACCGGCGTTTATATTTTACCGGTTGACTACACAACATAATGCGCTTTGGATTTCGACAGTAACAAAACTCTTACGGCCGTTGACCATTTTTTTTAGACATGTACTAAAAGCGAGTGGTGAGATTTATCTACCAGAGTGCGATATTCCAATCCGTTTTCCAGTCAACAGGTCTTTCATATCGTATATATCGAGGCATAAATCTAGCTTACACCAAGGTAATGTATAGGCCTAATTTAAGTCGAACCATCTCTTATTATAAATCTAAGCTAAATATTGTAGGTCTTTGTGCTGTCCTACCTCAGTCTTTGAATGACTCATTGGTTCTATTTGCGTTAACTGGAGCACGGAGAAAATCAGACCTATATCTCATGTCGGACCGGTATGGTTCTTATTTAATTATAACAGTATATTACTATCAATCCCATGTTCGCCCCAATATACATACTGCATTACATTCATAAAACAATATTCAGTTTAGCAATCGTCCTTTTCATCCAACGCTCATATTTTTGTGGGAAAATTGCACAATGGCGAAAATCTACCATGAAATGTTATTGTTTTCGTGATGGAACAGCAACAATGGAATACCTTCGTATTATTTTATAATGTTTTTATAAACTACACCATAGAGCGCATAGAAAAATAGCTCGAATCTATTATTTTATTAAATATAATATAAATATAGTATGATATAGGCCTATACAATAATATTCATTAAATATAATCAAAATAATTTAAACAATATAATAAAAATAATAATAATAATAGTAATAATAATAATAATAATAATAATAATAATAATAATAATAATAATAATAATAATAATAATAAAGAAAATAGGCCTATATATAAGCGTAACAATAATTACTGCTATAGTCCAGAAGAAGAGGGCTTGGTTTTACTTTCGTTTTTTCTGTTCTATGTGTGGTCCTTTTTATCAATGTCCTTTTTTCAATTATCAGTTCAACATTTTTCTTTTCTAAGGAAATTTTATAAAACGTTTATAATTCGGGCATAAAACCGAATTCCAATTGTCTACAAATGATTGCATATATTATATATATTATATATTAGGAAATATTTCTTGTTAACTCGAGTCACTCGGTAGTGAGCAGGAAGTAATCAACTGGGTCATGACCCTCAACATCTGCAAAAGGCACGCTCCTCTGCATGGTATGAAGCAGGTATGAAGGTACCACCGATACCGAGGGAGTTGGCCCTTCAGGCGACTTGTTAATATTGAGTCTGTGATTATAAATTAATAATTGAAAATACGAAAACGGCTTCCAATTACGCAGAACGCTGACACATTTCTTATATTTGTTTCCAATTCCAATTCCAATCTGTTTGTTTGTATAAGGCCCCATAAAAAAAAAATTATTAGTTTATCACCCGCTCCCTCATCACTTTTGGGGAAAATCTGATTTTTTTTTTCCAATCAACATATATTTTTTATTTCAAACGGTCCCTTTTCTATCTTTTTTCAATTGAAAAGTTTAGGATTTCTTGCAAATATGTTTACTGGTACAACAAAAACATATTTTTAAATATAAATTTGATTCCATTCTTATGACTTTTTATATATGTGTCTCTAACCATTGATTTACTTGTGATCAAAGGTAAAATGGGGGCCAAAAGCCAAAAAAAAAAAAAAAAAAAAAAAAAAAAACCTCCCTCCCTCATCAGTTTTTATTCTTTGATAGTGATAAACTAATAAATTTTGTTATGGGCCTAATAATAACAATGACGAAGATGAAATTGTAATTATTCCTCTGGTGTTGTGTGTTGATTATTAACGTTTTTGAATGTCAATGTTCTTTCGTAATCCATCATCCAATGACTAAAGAACAAACCGTTGAACAGAATTTACCAAAAAAAAAAATCAAAATCAAAATAGGGCAAGAACATACTGTATACGATGATAGAGGTAAAGTGTACTGACATGCCACCAGCTGGAATGAAGCCAAGAATGCGTTGGTAATTACCATCCGATGGCGTTGGATTTCATGTGGTTTAGCGCTATATCAGATTAATAACACATAAGGCTTTCGTGGGTTATCTAGCTAGCTGTATTTTCCGCCTGCTATTAGCTCTTTAGGTGGCGTTGGATTTCTATTGTGAGGTAAGAGAAATATACGGTACGCTTTTAATCAGAATTTCCCATTACAATTTACTTTCTACGGATTACTGGTCATAAATGCGGGGAGTAAAAACATCCTACATTCAAAGATGGTGAGTTTGCTACGGAGCTGTGTCCATTTGTGTGTTAACGTCGAGTGCTTCATTCTTCTCATATTTCAACCGTGGAGGGTCATCTCCACGTTTAAACTTCCAAAAGAATAAGAAAATCTATCTTCAGTAACAGTATTTTCCATTCAGTGATGTGGTTTTTCAGTGGAATCCGCCTTTAACTTGAAACCAACCCGTGATCATTTGCGCACTGTATTTTAATATTATTTACTGTTAGGCTAATTACAGTTTAATGTGTGCAGTATTGCGGTTTTTGATTCTGTTGACCCATCAACCTTGTCCTACAATAATTTTCCATATTATGCATTCTATTATTAGGCCTTCTTATTGTTTCTGTTACTCATGTTTATGTGTTGGTAATTGATGCATAGACGAGAGTGATTCAATTGGTCTTTGGAATATGTCGTGTTATTTCGAAAGTGTATAAATAAAAAATACCATATTATACACATAAACACCTTATCGGAGGAGTGTAAAAACTGACCAATCAGAACGCGCTATTTGCAATGCGATAGCATTCACATGTCTAAATACAAACAAATGTGTACTCACTTTTAACGGTCCACACCTTAGCAACAGTATCTAAGGAATGGGCCGTAGTATAGCGGAAAGGTCAATTTTATCATGTTGATAATAGTCTGTCATAAACTTTGCGGGTAAACCTTAAAAATAATCAATTAAAACATTGAATTTCATTTGAAAGTATCAAATAAATTATTATCTTACAAGGAAACAAAGAAGTATTAATTTTGCAGATCGTATACGAAAATCTCTAAATTAATTAACTGCCAGTCTAGTGATCATGCAAAAATATTGAAAATGTGTAACATTGACAAGGTAAAAATCATTAAATATCATATTTTCAAGCATTGAATTTTATATATTAAAGTTGTTTATCATTTCACAGATAATCACTAAAAGTCATTAAAATATGTTAATTTCTTTTTTATTTTGATAAGTAGGAGTAATGTTTTTGCCTTACCTAACGTGTTATCGTACCGAATACTCAATACTTAAATACTTGCGAAAAAAAATCCGCAAATGATTATAGTGGGGATCGAACCCACGACCTCCAGATACTGGCCTGGCGCCATAACCAATAAACCACCGAGCGTGTGCTTAGTGACTAGTGTTGAATCCGATCCCCAAGTACAGTGGGTACTGCAAGTGCTATTACTCACATCGTAATATTTTGATACGATTATTAATAATGTCTGATATATTTTTTATACTTTTTTTGTTTTGTTAGACTTGACCGTCGGGCAGCACGTGTTTGATCTATCAGATTATCGAGAGGATAAACAGATGCATTTGTCAACAACAATAATGAACTTGAAGCTTAACACTGTTTTGCAAGCACTTAACGAGTACCGGTACTGATGCTTGCGTTTCTCTACGCTGATAGGTTCGCACGCATCATCTGCTGAACGAACCATATCAAAGAGGCCAGGATGGGCTTGGTGTTACTTTCTGTTGTTGGTGTTAGCTACACAATTTCTGTCCTTACAACTATTGTGTCTCTGTTTGTGCCTGCCATTTCGCACGCGTGGATCGTTAGTTCGTTATCAAGTAAATCAACTCTTTCTATTGGAATTTTTAAAACTTGCCAAGAGATTTTTGGTCGAAAGATTGTCTGCGGAACCCCGGAAGATCTACCTAACGAATGGTTCTTCACTTTTCTTTTTATCCTTTGTGGACTCATAAACCTTATTGTTGCGAACTCAATAGTCTATTATGATATTTATAATTGGCACTGGAGGCGACGTCGAACAAGAAATAAAAATGCAAAGAATTTGGCTTTTATTTCATGTTTATTTTATAGTCTTGCTTCCGTCATTTACCCCATCAGTTTTCGGACACCGATGATAGGGGGTGCTGCATTCAAATTGCCGTCAGCATTCCACATCGGGCCTGGCTATTACACTTTCGGTGCTGCGTGGTTTTTTCTTGTCATTGGAACCGCTTTTGCATTTACTGGAAGACTTTTCTGGAAAGTTCTTGTAATCATATTTGGCTCATAATATCGTTTTTCTAATAATTTCAAAATCCATTAACGAAAAAACAAAACCAAATACACTGTTACACTAGGCCACTGCTGTATAATTCCTTCTGTATCCAATGTTTAGGTATGTCTATTTTTGTGTTTATTCATGGTTTATTAAACCTGTTACTGTCGGAATTTATCGCACTTGCTTTTTTAAGCCAGGCTCCGAAGGAAAAATTGATATGTATAACCATGGAGGAAATATCCTTCATGGTATAGGCCTAACTGAGACAGACCCAAAACAATTAGACCCAAAAAGCATATTTGACAAAAGCTCGGGAACGGTCATTAAGATATATTTATATATCTTAAAAACGTAACGTAATGTAACCACCCCTTTCCACCCCACCCCCAGTTTTTAAATATACATTAAAAAAAATTATATCTCAACCGCCACCAAGTTTCGTCAAATATGCGTTTTGTTTTTGTCTTAGAAAAATCAGTTATACAACTTACCAAGCGTTGTTCCACCGGAGCCTAACCTGACTTTACACGAAAAAAATTACAAATAGAAATGATTAAAATGTAAATAGCTGACTCGCATGTAGTTTAAATTAGTCATACGTTACCTAACTGTTTGTTTTTTTTTTTCATTCTGTAAAAAAGCAGTGATAAACTTTTAAGTGTTATTTTTTATATTAGGTTTTATTTTTACATTATAACGTCGTAGCCTAAAGCTTTACTATCGAAAATAAAATAGATTGATATTTATATCGATTTTCTGTATTTTTGTAATAATAATAAATATAGTATAGTGCCTATAATGATTTCCTGTGACTGTCATTTTTGATTGATATAAAAGTGCTAAATATGTGTTATCTCCACATACAAACCATAGTTATACAGCCATTGCTCAGTCTGTCGAATATTACGTAACATATTTTTTGTATCACCTGACCTGTGTTGACGTAACGGTAACGTAATTAAAGATTATCATCATTAATTCAAATTCAGTTTTGTTAGCGGATTGAAGGGGGCGGGCCGGGGCAGACTATTTTCAGCAAAATTAATAAAAGAAAAAAAAATGAGGAAAGTGTATTCAAAGAGTGACGTATCCGGCCATGATGACGTATCCAGGTGATGATAATCATAAATTTTCTAACCTCAGCCCCAACCATGGTGTGTGTGGCTGAGGTGGTCTCGACTTTCCATCGGTGAAAGTCCATTGGGCCCCGCTAATTCAAATTCCTGGATCCGCCACTGTTTGTTATAATTTAGTTCCGTTTAAGTTCAATTGGGAAGTCAGTTTTCAACTTTATGGTATGAACCGTCGTTCGTACGCGCTTCGGTAGCCTACTTGGGTGCTATATCTCTCAAGCACAATTTGGGTTCATTCCGGGCAGAAATCGACAAGATTTATCATATCCAAAAGCAACTCAATTCTATGTCTTGGAAGACTTTAGAATCGAGTTGCCGTAAATCTGCTAGATGAATCTGCGAATTAGTACGGTACATAATTAATAGGCCAACTGTTTAAAGACAAATTCACAATTAAATAGAACTACTGTACGTAAATGTAAATCAATTAAAAAATACAAGTTGTAGGCCTACATAATAATAATAATAATAATAATAATAATAATAATAATAATAATAATAATAATTTATTGGCTCACTCTTTTAAAACAGAGGAACACTCTCACGCAGAAGAGGTTCGACCATACAACAGAACAAAAGTTACAAGTACTGTAAATATAAAATTCATATAAAAGAGATGATAGTAATGAAATTTAAAAAAATTAAAAATGCAATAATAATAATTATTATATTAAAGTATAAAATCTAAAATGAATATATATAAATAAATAAATAAATATTTATTTAATAAATAAATAAAAACATGTTACACGTTTTGCAGAGTAAAATTGATTACACATTGATTTCCGTCACTGACAGGGTTTCATAATTTATACTACCATGGAACATTTATGACTTCATGCATGGACGTTTATTTCCTCAATTATTTGGCTATTTCTGTGAACCCGAGGACATAATGTTTATAAAGGCCTCTGGCCTATATTTACGGCACCAGCACTACGATTATTTATTTACATCTGTTCTTCTGACAGTTGTTGAACATGGACCTATTTAATTTTATAGATATTATAATAGGTCCATCGTCTGAATAACAGAAGATGCTGTACTATTAGCGATCTTTATTAAGATAAGATCTTAAAGGCTGGTTTCTTTCCGGAATGGGATTTCCTGCTGGTGCTGTACAAATGTACAGTACTGTACAGTATATAGAAATAGCCAGATTGACAATCGCCTTGTCAAAGTCATGTATTATGCATATAAAATGTATGCTTATATTATTCTTGTAGCGATACTTATATCAGACCTGCCAAGTCTCACGCCAGGGGTGGGGCCAGCGGGGGCCGGGGCCCCAGGGGGGGGGCAGGTCCCCCGTCGGGGAGAGCTGCCCTTCCCCCGTCGGGGAGAAAAAGCACAATTCGTCGGAGAGAAAAAAAAAATTATATGATTTTCTACATATTAGTAGACTACAAAATCGATTAAATAAGCCTTTGAAACCCCTAAATTGTCAAAATTTTCGGGGGATGCGGGACCACTTTCTATACCTTTTAATCGAAGCTCGACCACGCCCACTTTGCTTTCGTCGGGGAAATCTGACCCCCCGCCCTGGCATCGGCCCCCTCGTCGGTGACCTCGTAACCAGCGTCCACAGGGCCCACCTGGTATTGTGACGACATGACTGTGGTATACGCGGTGCAAAGATTGCAGTGAAAACGCTGTAGGGACAAGTAGTGATTTTATGGAAACCAGGCTTAATATACCTACCTGCCATATCATCATCGACATATCGACCGCCGCCACACAACCGCCTTTATTTCATTGTAAGCAATATCAACTAATAATACTGAAAACAGGACATGCTTGTTCTCAAAACAACCTAAGGCCCTAAAAATTTAGTGAATCTGTGTTGTGATTGGTTATTAACATCCTACAATCATCTTGTGATAATACGTTTCCTTTGAAAGATGCAATGTTTATCAAATAAACAATGGCTTTTTGAGAAAATGACTTCGAACTTATTTCGACAGACCACCAATTTGAAATTCAGTTTGAATACAGAGATTCAGGATAGACAATTTTATTATTCACCTCAAAAGCGACACAAATGGGTGGGCTTAAGAGCTGTTATGTTGTAGGGGCCTATTTTTTTTTTTAATCACTTTTATTCAATAAAATTTCAGATACATATAAAAATATAAATATATATTTAAAAAAAAATATTCGTATATTAAGTGTGCATTAAGTGCATAAATTCAAGCGGCGGGCTGGAGAACATCCTCAAATTATGATAACACCTCCCATTGGTCAAAGCATAGAAAATGGAACACAATTTTCTCTATGGTCAAAACAAGCATATCGCGACCTTTATCGTAATATTGTAAACACTCCGACAGCATACAGTACATAGATGTAAACGGTCGCGCTTACCATTCATTCAATCGACTCATAGCAAATAAGCCTCGGCTCCTTTTGAAGTCTTTCAAAGTTATTTATAAATAATGTTTTTTTCCAGATACCCTACTCTATTATGATTAGAATCAATGAACTCGGGGTTTATTTGATATGTATTGTAGAGTGATCTTTAACGTGGTTTTAATACATTAAAACATTTCAGATCTGCTTCACTGCATAACTTAGTGTGCAATTATTGTCACTAGTTTGTCATTCCACAAAAAGAGCCATTGAATTGAATAGCCTCTTAAATCTATTTTTATCAAATGTTTCTTTATTGCAAAATAAGTACGGTACTATACTGGTCATGGTACCCGGATACAATGGACTTTGTTTTTACTTTCCGTCATCGTGTGGTAATGTTCTAAAAAGTAATTTTAAAAAGTAGGCCTATAATTTAAAGAGGGCTGTCTCTTATACACATCTAGATGTGTATAAGAGACTAAGAAAGTATAATACATACTCCAAGTATTGAAATACACGCCATCGTGTTGGGATTCAATATTTCGACATTAATTATGTCATCATCAGGAATGATGATGATGATGACATAATTAATGTCGAAATATTGAATCCCAACACGATGGCGTGTATTTCAATACTTGGAGTATGTATTATACTTTCCTAATTTAAAGAGGGTGTCTATAAAACGAAAACCCTTAAGTATTTCTTGATATTCCTAATTTTATTCCGATGAAATAATGAAATAGGTACTTGGCAACTGTTTTATGATGATTTTAAAATACTCACAATGAGATAATTGAGAAATAATTGAAGGTCTTCGGTCTTCGTTTTGTAGACACCCGTAATGGGGCGTCTATAAAAAGACCCTTGAAAATTTCACAAACGGACGCCCAAAAAAATCGTAATTTTGATTTTCTGACAGTCAGGTGTATTATCATCAAAATAAAAGAGAAAAAATAGGGGTCTTAGTTTTTGGGTCTTCGGCCCTCGTTTTATAGACACCCAATTTAAAGAACGTTTTTTAGGGGGTCGACTCATACAGCAATAAGTAATATTTCAGTCAGAGAATTCGGGGTGCATGATGTCCACTTCATACCTCTTGTCGATTTATACACTGGGGTGGAATTGGAGTCAATCTAACTATTGTTGATATTTACGCATTAAAATACTGAACAGTACACCAATAGTGCATCCCTTTTAAATTTTGAGTGTCAAAAAATTGCACAACTCTTCATTAAAATCTTTAGGATGATATATACTTTTTATTCTGATATTTTGTTTTTCACGGATAAATTTGTACTATTTTGATAATTGAATATCAGTTCTAAATCCTTAGCTCCCACAGGTATATTATGATATAACGCCTTTTCCAGAGGATACAAAGCGAGCTGTAGACAATTTTGTAACTTGTTTCAATGACTTTCTTCTCCCCTAAGATTGTTTTCATGTCAGAACTACCCGGTACAAGCTACTCTCGTCTGTCCACAACAGGGGATGTATGGACCAATACACTGGGGAAACCTCCTACTCGTCTCCAAAGATGTACTGGGTCATTTTAATTGCACACAAGCCAGAACCATAGGCGAGCGTGCCATTCGCACCAGCGCCGATATTATAGTTGTAGGTTGCGGCGGACCTGCTCTTACCGCTCGGCCATCCTTTCAACTACTGTGTAATTATTTGTAAGAACATATTATTTGTGCATTATTAAAATTCAATTATAAGATTGTTTCAAAGCCTATTGTACGTTAATGATGAAAATGGTAATAGTAGGATATTTGTAGATTGCCTTCCACGTAAAATTGTCTTGAGAACGCAGTTCACAAGAGCCAATCATGACAAATATACTCAATATTTACTATTTTATTTCCATAATTCAAATTCATATTTATATCAAATTCAGAGAAGCACATATTGCTATGGCAACTATATCAACTCATGCGCTCTTTGTCAGCCAAATTTTAACACACAAATATCATTAATCCATACAACACGACTTAAAACTTAATTTGACATAAAAATTACTAAATTATGCAAAAACATTATTTGTCTAAAACTCCATCTTCTAAATGTTTATATTTAGACATCTGAAAAATAGTTTACTACAAGTATATATTTGTTATTTGTCCGCTAACGCAATTGTATTAGGATTGTAAGTCTAAATCGCATTCCAACATACAACAATCTGAATATTTTCACAAACCAATAACAAATTTAACATTATATAAATCAATATATTTAATTTAACAAAAATATATCACAGAAACAAAAACCTACACACCTTGTCATAGTGGTGTAGACTACAAATAAGATGTAAATAAAGAAAATGTTTATATAAAAGCAAATCAGAAAATTTATATTTTGTGCATATAGACGTTAGAATTGGGATTCCTGTTTCCGACAAGGGAGCACCACATTTAAAAATTACAATGTAACTTCGTGTCCATTGAATACAAGTACAGCATGGCCATGAAATTAGCTTTGAGGGCAAACTGATAAATAAATCAAATTACAAGATGACTGGATTTAGGAAGAAAAAAATGAACAAAAATAATGTAATTCTAATAGCATTTTGCTTCTCAAATAAACTGGATTATTTAATACTGTTTACTTCAAGCTGGGCACTAACTTGTACAACCGTCGTATGACGAATCCAACTTCGCTCCATGTGAGCAGTCTGAACGGATCGTCATTAAAAACAGTTTGTTGCGTGCACGTTGTTTCACTGCATTCTGCATAGAATCGCATTGGCCGATGACCATCGGACGCAGTGACAGATCAGCTTTAGTTTTACAATTACAATCTTGAATACATGAGTTTTGAATAAAGTTATAATCAATTTTAAATAGTAATTATTATTTCAGATTCATACTTGAGGTCAATTCAGCGGTGGGTTGCAGAAGCATAAAACAAATTGGTTTTGCAGAGTATTCTTGTATTTTTAGACCAAATTTAAAAAAAAAATGTTTTCATTTTTGGTATATATTGTGGATATAATACTTAGCAAGCATAGGACAATATTAGTATTATAAGATTATTTACTTAACCGCACAAACATCATCAGTACATTCCATTTTCGGCTCTGGATTTGTATCAGCTCTACTAGCTCCCTCTGTTGGTGGAATGGGCGAACACTCATCAGAAGTACATTCTGGGCTTGCTTGACCATCTGTTGGTGGGTTGGAGCTGGGTGGCTTGCCTTCAATACCGAGAGCATCTAGGACAGTCTGTAGAGCAACATGATCACCTGGACCAGACTGCTTAAAATTAAGCAGTACCTTCTCACCCTCTGATAAAAAATAAACAAATTACAACAATTGTATTGGAACAACAGATTCTTTATACTATATCAATACAGGCACTACTGTATGATTTACCTCTGCCAATGAGGTTATGTACTGTATTCAACACTCTCTGTCTCTCAGCAAGATTACACAAACATGATGGCATGGATCACCATAAAATTTAGTGCAATGGTACATAATAATCTAAGAGATTATTAAATTTTGGGAAGAAAAGGTCGAAGGACAAGGTCAAGGTCACAGAAATTATATTTTTACCCTTGAGTATATTAAAGAAAATAATGGTATCGCCCATGAAGATGGCCTGCATATTGTTCAGTATACAGGCACAGGGCGAAGGAATTGTTTATATGGAGTGACTGCTGTAAATATTATATTCATTTCCTTATTACCAATAAACATAAATTAAAACGCAGTATAAAACAACTATAAGCTTAAACAGTGACAAAAGAACATTGCAAAATTACTTATATAGTGTGGGAAGCAGGCATATCATTTTTGAATGTTCCTGTCCAATAAAAGTTTGGAATTCACAAACTGTAATGCACATCAGCAAAAATGCAAAAATAAAGAATAGGCTAGTCTAAACAAAAATCTCTGGCATCTCTTAAATGTCTAAAATTACTTAGTAATTTAACATATTCTGATTGTCGAGTATCTGTTAACATTTTGGTGTGTGTTTAAATAATCATGTACAGAAATAGAGACAACTTTGTAAATTCCCAAAGATGACCAAAGTCAAAATATTCAATCCCAAAATGATGACATAGATAATGTATATTTATAAGATTACATAAGATCAGTAGAAACCCTGTCTATACACTAAAAGAATTGAAGACCTTCAACATCACTTTAATATACCATCTTTTATTAACACACAGTACTGCAAAACATCCATTTTATTAACGTTAATTTTATGAGTAGTCGATTTTACAAATGGTCTTTGCTCACTAATGACGTCATCATCAACCAATTAATACCGTAAAAGAAGTCGGACTGTAACCGTTTTACAAAGTGATAATGTATATTTTTCTTAATAAAATTAAGTTTGTTGTATTAAAAATACATAAAAAACACAAAAGCCATCTACTGTGATATTAAGTTTCCTGAAAGGTGCAATGTTTACTTTTTGAGACAAAGACTTAGAACTTATTTCGACAGACCACCAATATTTGAACTTCATTTTGAGTACAGAGATTCAGGATAGACAATTTTATCATTATTCACCTCAAGAACGACACAGATGTCATTGGACTTAAGAGCTGTTTTGTTGAATTCATAGAAGTGTGCATTAAGTAATTGCATAAATTCAATTTTCTGAAGAAAAGCGGAGGCCTGGAAAACATCTTCAAATTATGATAATACCTCCCATGGTCAAAGCATAGAGAAAATAGAACACAATTTTCCTTATGGTCAAAGCACGAATATTGTGACCTAATTATCGTAATATCGTGGACACTGACAGCAGATATGGTAATGGTAATGGTTTGGGACTTGTAAAGCGCATACTACATGGTATCTATGCGCTTAAGTTACACGAAAGAAAACAAACCAAACACTAAATCCTAAAGTCTAACCAAGCGACCTAAGAATAAAAAAAAAAGCATGAGAAAACAGACTATCGCAGGGGAACCAACATTACCGCACCATTTTCCTGCAATTGGAGACCACAGGCAAGCAGTGGTTTGCAGGATCATAACTCACAGGCGCAGAGGTCCCAAGTTGGTAGAGTGAGATTTCCGGGTAGCTTGTTGTTTTATTGAAGTGTAATTTATAGGTACCTTTTTTTGGTTTATTAATTGTACGTATGACATGTTAATTTAACATGTCATGCCAAAAAGTCACCGCAAATATTTAACACTAGAAACAGTAGCTTTGTAAGTGGCAACCAATAGGCAAAATACGTCATTTTCAAGTTTTATTGAACTTAGGTGGTGATGCAAAGGTATGGAGCTGTTTAATTGTAGGTAACCTAATATGAAAGAGAAAAATGTTTTGTTTTGAAAATATACACTTATGAGCCATGATTTTAATATTCACAATGAAAATTCTATATTTTCTGGGAAAAATTGTAAAAATTCTGGGAAGAGGAAATCCACAACTTGGGAGATCTGGCCTTGACTCTTTTTAAGTCTTTCAAAGTTATTTATAAATAATGTTTTTTTTCCAGGTACTATATTATGACTAGAATCAATGAACTCAAGGTTTATTTGGTATGTATTGTAGAGAGATCAGTTTCATTTCATTTATTTTGTCTCAATAAAATACATAAAAAACAACAACCGGTTACAATACAACAAAATAAAAGCATAAAAGAATCTGAAACAGGCCGAGAGAGGATTCTTAAAAGTGAACCAAATCACTATCATGTAGGTCTCCTAATGCACTATTCCGATTACACATAAAATAATAATGAGCAATTGAAATAATACTTAAAATCTGCAAAACTTGCCTTAACAATAAATATATATATATATATAGAAATTGTAAAACTTATTTAAAATATAATTTAAGATCGTTTAAAAATGCTTTAAGATTCAAAACCAATAAACTTTTTGATTTTTTTCATATGGTTCTTCAAATTCTTGATTCTTCTTCTATCAGTTTAAACATGGTTTTAATAGATTAAAAAATTTCAGATCTGCTTCAATGTGTTGTCACTTGTCTATCACTCCACACAAAGAGCCACTGAATAGCCTCTTATAAAATTAATTTTTATCAAATGTTTCTTTATTGCAAATTAAGCACTATACTGGTCATGGTAGCAGGATACAATGCACTTGGTTCTATTTTGCGTCTTCACTGTGTGTATAAAGGGTATTCCCTTATGGCCTCAATCGAATGGTGGCATATAGAAAGGTTCAATAAATTTACTTACACCCATTTGGACAGAAAAGTTGGAAAAAAAAGATTGGCGTCAGGTTCTATCCAATTTCCTGTTCGATTATCGAACTACACCTCATACAGTTACTGGAGCTAGGCCTGATATGTTGCTCATGAAGCGTGAACTTAAGAGATAAATTGCCTCAAATTAAATATGATTGTAATCTTTTTGAGTCTGATTGGGATTAGATGGTACACGTTCGTAATATGCATTGCAAAATGCGGCAAAAGCAATATGCAGACATGAAGCATGGTGCCAAGCCATCTGATGTACAAGGTGATGAGGTAATACAAATTGTGTTATAACTTTGAAGAAGAACCATATGACAAAAATCAAAAAGTACATAGGCAATCATTCAACAAAGACTATAGAAATTTAAAATTTAAAATGTAAGGCTAATTTTCCAACATCAAGTTATTTGCAATATACTTGTTTGAAATATAAACTATATGAATGTTCTAGATTGGATTTCACAGGTGTGGGGTTACAAAAAACAATATTATTACTTCAAGGATTTGTGGTCATAGGATACAGCTCCAATACTACATTACTTACTTGCACCAACAATCAGCGTTCCGCCAATTTGCAATTTCTCACCCTTAAAATCACCCTCGATCTTTGCTTCCTTTGCCTGTGAATAAAACAACAATATTTTCTAAACTACTGCACATTCCAGAGAACTATTTCCTTCAACTAATTATTTTACTTTCTCCGATGAAAAAAAAAGAGTTGGTCTAAGTGAAAGTAGTCTCTGCCAACTGTAGGTAGTAGTTTGATGTTGAAGTGATACTCCAGAGGAAAATTAGGATTTAATATGTTGTACAACTGATTTTTCTTAGAGACAAAAAAACGTTTTTGATGAAAAACATATCAAACATTTTTTCCCTCCGGAGCCTGATTTTAAATTACAATGCAATGTATTTTATCATTTTATTAATATTTTATTCAGTCTTGTTATCTGAAACAAACTTTCATTTTATTGTTATTTTACATTTTTTGTGTCTTGTTTTAATTTTAAAAATTATTTACTAAATCAATTTTATTTCCAATGTTACTTGTTAAATTTGTATTGAGGGTCCCTAATGATCAGCTTCTGCTTGATGAACAACCCTCACAAAATATTGTGGAAATAAAATAGAAATCAATAAAAATCAATAAATAACACATAAAACAATTCCAAATTAGGGGATAGGCTTATAAGTAGTTGAGTATTTTACATATAAACTATTCAAAGTTATGGAATATGTTGATACCCGAGATTCGCTTATATACTAAGGCATTAACCTACAGTATTTATTTGTATTCTATTGTAAGTTAAATATAATTACCCTTTGAAGTACAGCTCTAGCTTTCTTACTAAACAGCGACTTAGCGATCATCCACCACGAGCACCTGGTGAAACCCACTGCCCGGTATGTCTCATGCTTAGCGTCAATATACAATTCTAAAAAAAAAGGGTGTCAAAATTTCATAGAGAATCAGAGTCCGGTTAATTCATATTTTGAAAATAAATTCATATTAACGTCCTTTAAAAACATGTTTTAAAAGGCCCATCATATTCAGGGCCTTTAGAAACATGTTTTAAAAGGCCCTTTTTAAGTATTATAAATTAATTTTAGCCTAGAGGTTATCGTTTTACTATCCAAAATGTAAAGGGTGATTGCGGGATGGCCATAAGCCCTATAATTAATTAAGCCTAGGCGTACAATTTAAACAATAGAATAAAAAAAAGTATTGCTTACTGTCAAACCAACTTCCATTAGCACTGTGCTTGGAATTTGTTTTGGCCAAATTACAGGATCTTGTGTTCCAATCCCAGTGGGAAACATATATTGTCAAAAAATATTTATCTATTAGGCCAAGTAAAAAAAAAATGTAGTTTCCCGTCCTAATATTTGGACAAAAGAATAACGAGGACACATTTTTATATTTCGTGATGGCAAATCCAAGATGGTCGATGGGAAACAGCTACTACTTTCTCACTTTTACCAAGTAGACACAGTGAAAGCAAGGACTTATAACTGTTAACAGGATAGAAAGCTGGCTGGTTTAAGCCATCTAACTGGAATTAGCCTTATGTGTGGTATTGTTATGCTAATGAGCCAGATAAGCACAATCTGCTCATGCTCAGAAAAACAAACTTTCCTTAGCCACACTGCGGCCCGCACTGCGTATCGGCTTGGCGTACAGCTAGACCTAGCCGAGAATTTTCTGAGCATGTGCAGGTTGTGCTTATCTGGCTCATTAGCATAACAATACCACACATAAGGCTAATTCAAGTTAGACGGCTTAAACCAGCCAGCTTCCTATCCTGGTAACAGTTATAAGTCCTTGGTGAAAGCAAACAAAAGGAGCACTATTTACTATTCATATCTACTGGTATTTATTTTTATCTTTAATAAATTTAATAAAAGTTCTTACCTCCTGCCCAATATTTTCCAGCAACAAAATCTTGTACTCCTAATTCTTCAAGACCCACACCAATGAGACGAACATTGTGCTCGTCTAGCTGGGGTTTAAGGGAACTTAGCTCCCTGGCACCCAGCCTACACAAAGGTCATCCAAAGCGACGCATGAAATGGATTATACATGGCTGCTGTTGCCATAACGATCCCATTGTCACACTCTAAAAATAAGTTATTCAACAATGAAAGTTAGTAATAACTACATAATTAAATATGATTTCTTTAAATGGATACATGGCTGCCATAATGATTCAAATGTTTTACTCTCTCTGAAAATACAGTAAGTTACTTAACATTCAAAATTGACAATGACAATAATATCACAATAAATAATAAAATAACATAAGTATTTATTCCCTCCAAAATAATATAAATCATGACAGAGGAGGAATCTTTCTCTTTTTTTAAGCTCTCAATGAAAAGGAAATTTGTATAGCAGGAAGATATTTATTCTGATCATGGTAAAAAGATGGTTCTTTGTGAATGGATGACAGAGGCCTACTATGATTTTTTTTATGTGACTTTCAGTCCAATAAATTATTAAATTAATGATAATGAAAAGCGTATTAATTTTTTGTTGCCAGTTTTGATTTAATAACCAAAAAGGAGCTTCTAAAAAAGACATAAGCAAAATCACACATTTCTTTAACAATCATATGTAAAATAGTGTTCTGACAGTTGGATATGTTGTGCACAGTTTGTTCTTTTGAGTTGCTGATTTTGTTTTGAAGTTTTTTCAAACTGTGCACACAGATATGCAAACTGCGCAAGGTTTCTTTCATCAATTATCATGAAATGTGATATTTAAATTTATTTACTGATATTGATATCAAATTATTATTATTAGATTATATGACTCAACATAATGTACTTTTTTGGAAGATATACAGCAATTGTGGTTTTTGAATAAAGAATTGATATTATTATTTTAATTCCGATGTTTTAAGAGATCAGAAAATTTGCAATTCCGATGTTTTAAGAGATCATCAGAAAAAATTGTAATGATAAAAGAAAGGCCATGTGTGTGTGTGGGTCACAGTCCGTAACTACAATGGAAGAAATCACATTCAAAATTGCATTTATTACAAAATCGCATTCTGTGGTGGCGCCAGGACCTGCCCAATGGAGGGGCTAAAGGCCCTGGCAGGGGGCCTGGTGGAGCGAATCAGTCTCACTTGGGTGGGGAGAGGGGGTCGCCTAGGCCACGGATATTTGATGAATTATGGCGAATTTTTATTACTTATTTGATAGGCATCGAGTTACTATAATATGACATCATGTAGGCTATGCTTTCTAATCAGCTTCCAAAACCAACACATTTTGATTGAAACAAGAAACAAATGCAATGTAACCATCTAATTAAGTGAAATTCTATATTTTGGAAATTTTGCATTTTTCTGTCAAAGGTTGCTTCAACTATCACGATGTAATCCAACCATCATGCAGAGGCTATCTAAATGAGCATTTGTCATAACAGAACGAAAATTATTTTTAATTAGTCTCATTGAATTATTATTATTGAATTATTATTATTATCATTATTATTATTATTATTATTATTATAAATATTATTATTATTATTATTGTTATTGTTGTTGTTTTTGTGATGAAAAGTTAACACAAACAATAATATGGTGGCTAAACGAATATTACATGTAAATATTTTTTTTCTATTTGTTTGTTCTATATTTATGCTTCCCCGAGGGGGGGGGGCTATAGCCCCCAGCCCCACTCTGGTGCCACCACTGATTGCATTTATTACTAAATATTACTAATAGGAATTAGTCTGATGCTAGGCCCGACCTCGCCAACGTAGCCTGCTGCTGGGCCGCTATTTTAGGCTACATAAGCTCCCTCTAACCGGCCAGAGCTAGGCTAGAATTATTAAAGAAAAAATAATAAATTGAACATTAAACTGACTGATAGTGGACAAATACTAAATAGATTAGATATAAATAGGACAAGGCCAAAGCCAAAAAGTGAGACAATTAATCGTTGATAGTTCATAGACTATGATGATTGAAACACATTTTAGTTAGTGTCTGGGCTAGGCCGACATACAGTAAGTCTCGCATTTTGATGCGATTTTTCTTTTTTCCTTCCATTTGATGTCATATTCTGTATCTTTTTTAGCTGTCAATTAATAATATGCTGGTTAGGCCTAGGCCTATATCATTATTCACTAAAATTTTAACTTTTGTTAATTCACACACAACTCAGTCTGAGTCATGCGCTGAAACCTATGCATTTTACTGGAAGACTGAATAAATATACCTCAAATACAAGTCACCATCATGCTATTATAGTATTTAAAAAGTTTTTTTACAAAAGTAAAAAAAAAAATCTCGCTAAAAAAAATAAGACCCACCAAAAAAAAAACTGTCAACCCCCCGCTGCACTTTGTTAGACCTAATAGTAATACTATTATTTTTGCTTGACAGTCATTAAAATAGAATTTAAAAAAAAATCTCGAATTAAACACATTCCTACTACAACGACCCCAAAAGGGGAATATCATTTTCCGCACAAGATGCTTACCCTGGGCCGTACACTCTAGCTAGGCCTATGCCCTTGCCTTGGCCTAGCCTAGCCTATTTTTAGTTATGTAATTTCAAGTTCGCTAAATACTTGGCCTAGGCCTCAAGGCTAGGTAATGTCAGGATGGAACTTTATAAAAAAAAGTGAATGGTACTTACTTCACCTGTAGCCACATTTTTTATAAGGTTATTGGTGATTTTTGCGAGATCCATGGTCAAATTAGACCCTGCTGCTTTCCTTCTGACCGGCAGACAGAGTGGTGACCATGCATAAACTTGTCCCGTGACCAGTCCCAAAAAGAAGCTTGAGAACTTATCTTTGTCAGTCCCTGCACAGAGTGTACGACGATTCCATTTCTTTCTTCCCACGGTGTGTAAACGTAAACACTGATCGAATTTTTTTAGCAGTGCTCGCCTGGTGGCGTCATCACGTTTCGTCCAATCGTCCAGCCCTATTAAAGTGGAGAATGAAAAGTCATAAACACTAACATACTCGCTATCCATCCTCTTTTCTAAACCACTGATTAAAATCTCTACATAAATAAAGTTAAAAATTCATGCTTTATGCTCAAGTATTGTCTTCAGAAACTTCCAACTCCGATTAAAATCTTCTTTAGTTATGCAAATACAAAAACTGAGTAGTGCATGGGAAAAAAAATAATGATCAGAAGATGCAGGCCTCCGTAGTAAATTAAGATCGTTCCAATAATAAAAAAAGTATTGCTTTAACAAAAAAAAAAGATCAATCCTTTTTATTGGAACGGTCTTAAAGTGACATTTGTTTTTATCTTTTTATCTTATGAAGCCGTAGGCCTACAGTATGTTGATTTTTACCGAATTGCCGGGCCTAAATGAATGAACGAACGAACGAACAAATGAACTGGATACTAGCCACGTAGAAATTAGCTTCCAAAGATTCCAAAATCAATGTTTATTATTCATTCATTTCACTTTTATGTCCATATCCTCACTCAAACTTAACACAGCAATCAGCTAAACAATAGGGAAAAAATGAAAACAAGTTGGTAGGCATAGTTGGGCTGGTTGGGCATTCCATAGCAGCTGACGCCACCTTCGTACCGGTACATTTTAACTTGGAGCCATCAAGTAATACTACTGTTAACACTAATAAACCAGCTAACAAAATTACGTTATAAGAACGTTATAATAACGTTACACTTGGGGAAAATGTTATTTTTTAAAGAACCATATGTACGTACTTATAACCCAATATTTACAGCGTTACAAACGTTTGAATGTTCTTACAACGCTGTGTGAACGTTATGCTCTGACATATCCTACCTAAACCAGAACGTTCGCGAACGTTACAAGAACGTTTTGTGTTTGATGTAGTCACATATTAAATATACGTTTACGAAAACCATACAGCCTTATTTAAAAAAATGACGGTACCACGACACCGGAGTAGAATACGAAAAGCGTTGTAACTTACAGACCCTTAGGCCTAAAGATCTCAGAGTGGCTACATATAGTTGACCACAGAACTGCACAAATATACAAAATGACTTAAAAAAGAGAGGTAGGACCTATAGGCCACTTAACATTCAGAACATCTCTTAAATGTGCCTCCAAAACTGTACTAAGTGTGTTTTAAAAATAATTTTAATATACTTTTCAATTTGATTTAATAGCTGATATTTTTGTAGAAATGTTCTTCAATAGGCCTATATATCTTTTTTTTTTTTTTTATATAAATTGCAAAAACCTGACCGTGTTCAAAATTCTGATTTCAGCGCTATGGGGTGCTTGTGGGGAATTGCGACAAACGGTGAGCTGCCAGAGCCGGTCACATTTGTAAATTGCATTTGGTCAACGATTGTTTATTTGTTGAATAAATGTATTAAAAAATAAATTAAATGTATCTTTGTAAAAAAAAAACAAAAAACAAAAAAAACTTACCGGTTTATAAAACATGCTGGAACCAGTAGGCCTAAATGTATTTATTTATTACAAATTGCGTTTCAGCAAACAACAAATCAAAAATGTAACTTTGTTTCTTGCCTTCATCAAATAGAAAATGTTGTTACTCCAAATGCAATCCAACCATGAAAATTATTGAAACAAATTCTTTTTTTTTTTATAGGCGTATTTATTTATTTCAACACTATTGTGGTCCGCATCGGCTGGGAGCAATCAGACCCTCAACCCAAAATACATAGGCCTACATAATAACAAGAAAAAGGAATTAAATGATTTAGCAAAGGAAAAAACGAGAAATGAAAAAGAAATGCAAATGTAAAATAATTATAAAATAAATGAATAAACAAATATTCCTGAATAAACATTGCTTACTAGGCCTATATAATCATTTAATCCCATCCCCACGCTGAAGAAAAGTAGGTGTTATGGATACAGGTCAAAGATCAATTTTTGAACTGTCTCGAATGAAGACAGTACAGACAGCTACGCAGCTACCATGCGCACAGAACGCGGGAGCGAAGGCTAGTCGATTTGTGGCTTGTCAGTTGTCATGTCTCAACGCAACATTCAGTCAGTAAGAATGCAAGTGTCTAGTGCCTGAATGTTCGATAAAAATGTTGGTTCGAGGAGTAATATATTGTGTTTCTGCACTTTACATCAATTGAATCAACTTCGTATAACACGTACGTACACCGAAAACGTAGCCTAAGCCTGTTCTAGGGTAGGCCTAGGCTGGTTTCCTTTAATTAAAAAACAGAGGGAGGGCCTAGGCCTAGCTAGGCCTAGTAGTAATAGTATTAGCCTATGCCTAGGCTAGGCCTGGCCTCCCCCTAGGCTAGGCCTAGACAGACTAGCCTAGGCCTTAGACCGCCAAAGATGATCACCCAGCTTGCTTAGAGGTTGGCCTAAGCCTTATTATTCCTTTCAATTATCGTTTATTTTTTTACTTTTTCAGATAGATACTAACTAGAAAGAGAGATGGCAGATTTACAAGCCACCATTGAATTGTCTGTGGAACTTTCTAAATTCCATAACATTGACTTGTTTCAAAGAGGGTAAGGAACCGTGATTTGATTTGATCATTATTTCGGTCAGTCATTCATTTACAAATGAAATAATTAGCATTGATTTTAATATTATATCATTTTGTTGGTTCATATACCTGTTGTATGTATTATTTTTATTTATAAATAATATGTAAAATTAAATGAAGAAATGCACATGTCCAGCTCTATAGCTTATATGACTCATCCAAAACTGTAGTAGACATTGGGGGTTTTCAATGAATAAAAATGATTTTAGCCTATGAAAATGAATAATGATGATTTTGGTATTGTCACTGTAATGAAGTACTTAAAACAATTCTTGAAAAAAATACAGCTATTTATTTATTATTATTGATTTGAACTGTTTGAAACATAGATTCTACCATGTCAGGATGTACTTGAAGCTACCACCAAGATCACCTTTTAAATATGATGTCACGTTACCACAGCAATCAGGTAAGTTGTTGGATGATATTTGGGCAAAATAAGTTTTATCATGATATCATAATAATTTATTATCTTTAAAAGCAATTGCTTTCACATTATAAGGGTACTACTATACAGGAAGATATTGATTATTGTAGTCACCTGAATGACCCTTTATTCCTGGACAAGTTTCCATTTTATTGTTATTATTTATTGAGAATTTGATAAATTATTGATATTGTTATGATCAAACTTCATACTGAGAATAAAATGAATTTGTTGATAATATGGTGAACAACTATACCATCTCCACATTTTGATGAAACAATTTAAAGTAATAAAACTTTTTATTGAGAATATAGAGATTTATAATGTGGGTGTAGATTCTGTATTTTCCCCATACATAAATCCTTTGGGAATTCTCAGATTCTCAAAAAGACCCCTTTGCTGGGACCTTTCAATTGACTCCACTCCCTTACACATTTCATGACCATGTGATGTCATCTTTAAAATAGATTACGTTGTGAACAAAACACTATAGGTACATTCAATACTGATAAATACGTCACTCATTTAGCACACGTTACAAACAAATTATCACCAATTCAGGGAAAATGTACAGTATTTAAAATTAGAAGAAATTGGAGTCTTTAGAGAGCTTTTGTTGTTTCGTTCGAGAACCAGTTCACAGCGAACATTTCTCTTTCCCAACCAAAAAAACCCAGCCAACCACGCACTTAGTAGAATCAGTAGTAGTGTGTGGTCTTTTGCGTTCATTGTCACAACCAATCATTGATTATGTGACTGGAACCTAGGCCCCAACGGGGTTCCGCCCCTTGGACCCTCGGGATCTGGTGACCCTGCCTCCCCCCACTTAACTAGTGTAATCACGCATTTCAAATCTCTCAGGATGGTAACTATGAGTTTAATTAAAGTGAGGGAATCCCCACCATAATGCCCCAGCTATGGTGTCTTCAGAGAGAGAATAACGCTAAATAGATTTGTGTATTTAGTGAATACTAAATTATATACAAACCAAATGCTAGTTCATTGTGTGTAGTCGACCTACTGTATTTTAAATTCACTGAACAGTAATATTATTGTGATTAATCATAATAAGTCCTTTTGTTTATATCTTAACTGCTCGTTACTATGGCAAGAATCAAGTGACGTAAATAAATATTCATATAGCTTACATTGTCTTCTCCATGTTTTTTTTATTACTGAACAGAGGCAACAGTTAGGAATGATTGGAACTGTTGTTATTCATCAGTATATAGGATTGAATGTGAAATATTGAATAAATCCATAAAAACTTAAAAAATATGAATGTTTGATTGAATGTGAAACACTGAACAGAGGTAACAGTTAGGAATGATTAGAACTGTTGTTATTCATCAGTATATAGGATTGAATGTGAAATATTGAATAAATCCATAAAAACTTAAGAAATGAAAATAAATAAATAAAATAAAATTGAAAAGAAACAATTGCTACCACATTTGTGTAAACCATTGACACTTGGTAATTATGTTTTTATAAATATTATTCATATTTCATCAGCCTGCATTGAATGCCAAGAGAGAAGTAATGAAGCCCACCCACTCATACTCATCAAAATGCTAGTCAATCATAAAATATGTTATCATATTAAAATGAACACTGCGACAATTAAGAAACCACTGATGCAAGGCACTCAGAGAAAATTCTGCAGACATGATGTAAAAACAAAAGTAAAATTCTACTTCATGAATATTGTACTTACCTACTGTACAGTAGATAAACCGACTTATTACCATTCTCTCCCAAAATAGAAGACCCCTTGAAAAATCACCATTGATTTGTGTATATTCTTTATCCATTAAACTACAATGCTATAGCTCTATTTCCTGTTGTTAAGGGGGATCTGATGTCCCCAAGGACAGTGTGTGTGGTTGTGGCTGGTGGTCAATCTAAATCTTTTTGATTGGACTATATTAATACTGAAAATTTAGGGATTTCATAGGCTTTTTCTCTGCCGGGAGGTCCCCAACCCCCAGTTGTGCCTCCCCTGACTGCAAGGGCTAAAATCATTGCGCACTTCATAATAATAATATTTTAAATAATACTAAATACTTAACAATTATACTATAATAATATATACTATAATTTATGATAATTAAATCAATTCAAATGTTTAAATTTCTATGGAATTGCATACTGTCAATTGCTTGAGTACATTTGTAATGGTCAGGTGTCAAGATATATTGCGTATACTCCATTGCAGCCAGTCATATGCTAGAAAAAGTCTGGATGTTTTATTTAACTTGTATAGTAGGATGCTTTGAACACAAAATTAATTATGCCAGCCACTTGAGATAGACCCAAAATGCATGGCCTCTCCATCTCTGTTTTTAAAACTTCCTAATGATGATGATGCTAATAATAATAATAATAATAATAATAATAATAATAATAAGAAGTAATTTCTTTCTTAAGTTCTTTTGTTTTCTGCTTTATCCAGAGATATAAAGTTTTAATTGATATTTATTATTGTCAACCTGGATAGATGAATCTACATCAGTCGAATAATAATAATAACAATAATAATAATAATATTTGTACTGATATCTTGTCAGTTGTCTGAATACTTGTTGTTTGTGGGAGAGCTGTACACATACTGAACTGTAGACTCATTTATTATGGGCCTAACTTTATTACATTACTGTGTCTCCATGTGTTCTACAGACACTAGCCAATGAATATATCAAAAGTAATCATAAATAATGTTATGTGCAAGTTATCACTGAGTGTCCATTCTGTGACATTTGTACTGTATCCTTCGCTATTTCCTTTTCTCATTGATATTATATAATGATCAACGTAACCATAAACACACCTGCTGTATTCAAGATTCGATTATTATGTGCAGCAATTGACATTCATGAGATTCCTTATTTCGGTGAAAGCATTTCAGTCATTTAATTGGTGTATAGATCCTCATCACCATTAACACTTTCCCTGGTTTCTGTGGAATGGAGTATGTTCTGAAAGTTATCTCTCTGCTTGTTTTTTTTTTTCAATGACATAGAAAGCGTGAAGTTTATTATTATGAGGGGCCCCAATATCCAGGGGCTCAAGCAGCTCAAAACAAAGTGCCAAGATTTACTTCAAAATATTATTCTGCTTGCAAATTGAATATATTACAAACTCATTTAAACCTTTATTTGATGGTCTGACAGAACCAAATCAGGATTTATAAATTAATATTAACTAGAATGATTACATTATTAACACATTTGTTTTCATGACCAAACATAATAATGTACATTTTTTGAGGGAGTATTTTTTAGTGTATCATTTTACTCCATGATTTGAATCTATTTTTATAATAGGTTAATTTTATTTTATTTTTTTTTTATCCTACTGGGTTAATTTGAATACATTTGTGTCTTAAAAATGTTTGTGACTGAGATGGTTAAATTATAAAGTCTCAGGTAAAAAAAATATTTAAAAAATACACACCAGGTATTCAATCACAATGTGGCATTGAATCAATAACAGATACTTTCTGTATTTGTGGCAAAGACAAACCCAAACCAGTCACTCGTCGCAAAATTCAATTTTGAGTTATTGATACAGAGTTAGAGAGTAAAATAATAGCTATAAAATGGTAAAAAAATCATTCAAATCGGACATTTCCTTATGAAGTTACAAGCGTTTAACCACACAGCTGTTTAAAGAACAGTATATGAGAAATCGGCCTTCAAAGTTTATGATTTCAGGCATTTCTCATGCAGAAACTATCTTTAAATTCTTAAAAAGTGTTGTTTTAACATTCAAAATGGGGAAAATAACAGCATAGAATGATGTGTAGATATATAAAGGTTTATTTTTTTAAAAATTTGACATTCCAGCATGTTTTGGCCATTTTCTCTGAAACACGATTTGCGACGAGTGACTGGTTTGGCTTGTCTTTGCCTCATTTATTATTCAGACTTGTTAATTGGTGATTTATTATTGATGTCTACAGTAGTAAATTTAATAATGTTGAGTGATTAGAGGTTTTCTGTTTGGTTCACATTCATGAATGATAAATCTAAAAACCAAACCTATCAAAATTCTAGGCAGCATATAAAATGTATTTCAATCGATCAATTAATCAATCAATTAGTTATCTTTATTATCATTTGCTCTGTAAGAACATAGATTCTGTATCTCTGTTCACTAAAGGCAAAAACATACCGAATACCAAATGAAAAAACGTAGATTAACACTCTGACTGCCAGGGGTTTGAAAAAATAGATCAGCCACCGCCAGACTTTTTAGCAAATTTTAACACTTTTCCGAAGCTCTGTGAGAGTGCATGTGATGTAATGAATACTACAAGAAAAGCTTTGTAATGTTTCCAAACACTTTATTCTAATCGCAATTTGTGGCCCGGAACAGTAAAATGAAAATGACTCACTTCTGGAGATTTACGCAGTTTTGCACAACAAAGCTGAGATACTGTAATCGCGATTTTGTGAAAGTAAATTAATACCGCTCTACACTAACGTAAGCAAGCAAATAGTGAAATACTTACGGTCCAGACTGAGTATAGTTTTTAAATTGTTAGTACATGTCGGTAATTACCCCATCTATCAGATTCCGTAAAAAAACCTGAAACACAAATTTACATAGACTGGCTGTATTACATTACTGAACTGCTGCTACATTGATGTTTGATCTCTGCCTGTTATTGACTTACCAATATAATCACTATTGCAGCCCTGGCTCTTAAACACATCTAGATGTGTATAAGAGACAGCACACAGCACCTGAAGGCTTACTGTAAATATCATCATTGTGTGATGAAAGTCTACAGTATTCTTTAGAGGGATGGCAATGTGGATGAAGCTGCTGTGTTTCCATGCAGCGTGTTCTGGCAGCTGGCTAAGAGCAGTGGCTTGAGCTGTCACCGGCTAAGGGCTGGGGCTCCAGGCCATTGCTCCCTAGATATTTATCAGCATTTTTGCACCATGCATTGGCTGAGTGTGGCCTGTTTAAGG